ATGTATGGCTTGTAACTAAGATATAAAGTGAGCCATATAACAATTCTATGAAATGGGTAGATTGGTCATTACTACCCCCATTATGTACTTAACAAAATTAAAGCAAATTTCTAATGCTCATGTGGTTGTTAAATGGAGGAATCAAGCCTTTAAACTGATGGTCCAGTGTACTTGCCATTATCCCCGCCTCTCCTTCCACCTCAATTTGGTTCATTGTATAAAGCAAATATCATGGCTCTTGCTTTTTCTTATTCAGTGCATTGATACTAAATTAAAAAATATTTAAAAAATATTAAAAAATTTAAAAAAATAAGAGAGACTGAGAGAAGATTATAGTAGGGAGCAAAAGAGCTGTATTTTTTAATGATAGGATTGCAAACTTGAATAATATATATTCTGAATAGAGTTAAGGCACAAATAACTTTAAAGGACCTTCAGTGTTAAGAATTAACATCAATATATTTAACTGTAAAAAGATCACTTCATGTTTTTGAATTATATTACATAATATTCTAACCCACTTAAGAGACAAAAATTGGAGATATTTTAAAACAAGAACTAATCCTGGAAAAGCAAAAATTAAAAATTTTAAAATAATAAAATAATTATGACCTTTATCCCATGGGAAAGAAATGGTTTTATGTTAAAATTAACATTGTTTCCCTTGTTGGTATATGAGCCAAGAAAGTGGGACTCCAGAATATGCCCAGTAAGTGTATTATGAATGTTAGTGCTGCAAGTTGGGGGTACTCCAGAATTCGAGGTAGAGAGCATCTCTTGGAGCTTCTGGGCCCAGGAAAAGATCTGATAACTGAGGGGAGGCCGCAGGCAAGCTGGACAGAGCTGATTAAATGGGTATGGGAAGCACAGATCTGCCTAGTGCCGATAACCTTGACCCATACAAGAACCCGCAAATTACTCTTGCCCTTGCAAAATGGAAGGTAAGACTCCTCTCTCATGAAGCTGTCTGGGATGCACTCCAGCCTCCTCCACAGCCACCGGCACTCACTCACCTGAGAGTGACATGCTACCTGAAAAACAGTGCGGGGCTCCAAACCTCCACTGTGTTCTACTCAGTCTCGAGGGTCTCAGAGCCAATGAGCATTCTCAGAAAACTGTAAAAGTAGCAAGACGGTCAGGGGGTCCAAGTGTTAAACCACCAGGGTTTAAGATGTTCTCATCCTGTCCCTCCATTAATCCTCAAGCCACCCTGATCCTCGCCCCAACAATGGCGGTGCTCAGGGGACTGCAGCGACTCGGTCAGTCTAGATGGACTGAGAAGATGGGGCAGGGCTGAGCCTTGCAGGCAGGGGCCAGAGCAGTAAGAGAAGCTTGTCCCATGAGCCTCTCCTGGCTGCAAAGGCTGAAAACCCAAAGAACGCTGGGTTATGACGCATGAAACCTCGTCCCCGAGTCTTGTGCACTTCCACATTGCTCCCTGCTCTAAAGAGTTCTTTTTTTTTTTAAATAATCATATTTTTTAAAGACTTTTTAAATTTATTTACTTGAGAGAGAGAAAAAGAAGCAGACTCCCCACTGAGCAGGGAGCCCGATGCGGGACTACATCCCAGGACCCTGAGATCATGACCTGAGTCAAAGGCAGAAGCTTCACACACTGAGCCCCAAGGCGCCCCAAGACTATTGCTCTTACCCCCTTTTATTTTATTATTTCATGTAACCAATCCTGTCCTGTTATTTCTTGGGTCATAAGCTTATCCCAGGGTTGGCACCATTGGTGAGGAGTTTCTGGAACAGGACAACCAGAAATGTTGATGGATTAAGAGAAGCTTAGCTACAACAGATGAAGAGCAGGGTGGCATGACGGCAACACTCACGGGGACTTGACTCTGCATATGTACAACCAAAAGCCATCGGATAGGACACCTCTCAGACACTACTTCTGTTCTCAGATTAAAATAGGATGGTAATACCTGCTTCACAGAATTGTCTAAAGATCAGAAAGTAATGTGAATTAATCATGTCAACATATAAGTTATATGTACATGAAGATAATTGATGGTGGTTCTTATCTCTTAAAGATTAAAAATCTTTAAAATCTTAAAGGTCTTTATTTATTTATTTGAGAGAGAGAGAGAGAGCGCATAAGTAGGGAGAGGGGCAGAGGGAGAGGGAGAGGGAGAAGTAGGCTCCCTGCTGAAAAGAGAGCTTGACCCCAGGACTCTGGGATCATGACCAGAGCCAAAGGCAGATGCTCAACTAACTGGGCAACCCAGGTGCCCCTCTCCTAGATAAAGATTTTAGAGTGTTTTCTCCCCACCCCAACTCCATCAGAGGTTCCTTGGAGTGTGTGATATAATTCCTTGCCTGAGTTGTGTTTCTGCCTTTAATACTGTTATATATTTGAATATAATGAAATAATATGGAAAGTAAAACAATACTAGACTTTCAAGAAGATAATTTTAAGCTTGAAGGAGAGGAAAGAGGGGAAACCGGAAGTGTAGAACCTAGCTCTACTCCAGTAGAACATGAAGCTGGGATATTCAGGCTGGAATCACACTAGAATGAAGTGTGGGCAGCATATCTAGCTCAGGGAGTTCCCTGCTTTGTAGAAGGGTCTTAAGCCATTCTACCATTTTCTTTTTGTTTGCTTCATTTTTGTAAAGTTGCCAAAAAGAAGTATGCCTTTGGAGAAGAATTTCTGTTTCTCTTTCTCTCCGCCAAAAATACAGGTTGACTTTTATCCTGCATTTTAGAACTACAACCCACTTAAAAAAAAATTGTGATTTCATTAGTTTGTTCAATGAGGTATCCTAATTTTTGCTTCATGAAATAAAAGTAAACACACATACATCTCGCTTCCTTCATCCCTTCCATTTAAATGACTAAGAGTACAGCTAAATCAGATTTTTAAAAACCCAATCTATGAAGCTAGGGATAAAATTTTCTTTCTATTTTGACAAAGACTCTATAGAGAGAATTAGGCTATCTTGTTAATTTCAAGACTGTTAGAAATCTGCACCTGAGTTTTCATGAAGTTGTTGAGTTGTATTTCCTAGAGATACGTTGGGGAAAAAAAAAAACAAAAAACAAAAAACATAAAAAACAAAAAATAAAACAAAAAAAAAACTGTGTATGTCCTGAGTTCCTGTCATTCTGGAGTCCAAAGATTGGATGGTCCAGAATTCCATCCTGACTTACATGGAATCTAGGACTAATCAAAGAAACACAACAAAATTTTATTTTATTTTATTTTATTTTTAATATTTTATTTATTTGACAGAGAGAAACCACAACTAGGCAGAGAGGCAGGCAGAGACAGAGGAGGAAGCAGGCTCCCTGCAGAGCAGAGAGCCGGATGCGGGGCTCAATCCCAGCACCCTGGGATCATGACCTGAGCTGAAGGCAGAGGCCCTAATCCACTGAGCCACTCAGGCGCCCCACAACAAAATTTTAACACAACCTTTTTATCTTACATATATTAACTGTTTTTTTCTTTTTAATTTTTCACTTAGAAACCTGACTCTTATGTTCATAAAACATTTATGTTTTACAAAGTCCTACTGAGAAACTTCTGGAGCCACAGTCTCTCTAAAGCGCTGAGTCACCCAGCATCTGCGCAAGTTAGCAGCTCCCTCAGCTGAACCTGTCTTCTGAAGATAACGTGGACTATAGCTGGCGGGATTCGGGGCCCAAGGTTGCTTTTTTTTTTTTTTTTTTCTTTTACTCTTCCACATATGTAACGTTTCTTTCATCTTTATCTGAAGAAGACTAGACAATTTTTTGAGAATTGTCTGTCTTTCTCTCTGTCTTCTTCCTCTCTCTTTCGGATACATTTTATCTTGCCAGGTTCTCGACCTTCCAGAAAAGTGAAACACTTTCCAAAGGAAACCGTGAGTACAGAATTCTTCGTAGTACAATTTGTCACCAATATAATCAGGAAAGCTGTCTCTTTTGAACTTTCTGCACTGTGTTTGATAGAATCTGTAAGAATTGTTTCCTGGCTTTTAAGAAGTAGAGAAGCTTAATTTTAACTCTTTCTGTGAATATCTCACTTTAAACAATGATCTTGAGCTCGTAGCTACACAGTATCAAAATCTAGCAATGACCTGGTTACATGGGGTCATAGAGAAAACAACTAGGTAACTTGGAGCAAAATAATACACAAGAAAGATTGAGGTCTCGTAGAATCATTCGATTCTGTAGCCAAACTACTAAAGGACATCCACAAAGCAGCAATTATATTTTGGGAGGAAGAAGATTAAAAATTTGAAATTGGTGTTCAATGTTCTGGCTGAGGTAAGCTAGGGAAAACTGTGCCCATATTCAGATGAAAGAAGGTAAACCCTACGGAGATTTTGCTGGCTATTGTCTCAAATAGGTTGGATGCCACTTATGTTGTTTAACAGTATAACATTTTACATTGCAAAAGCCAATTACCGAGAGGTTAATAACTTGAAATTTATGATAATTGCTAAAGGATGTGCTGAACTTTTTATCTGTAGTGTTTGTGAATAAAGCAAATAAAAAAAGATAAACATACATGAGCTATACTTTATGTGAAAAAACAAACATTTCTAAATGTTTGTGTATGTCATTCATCAAGTTTATTGCAAACCATGTTTAATTATTCATTAGATTAAATTCAGAATGATCAGTACAAGTCAACACTTTCTAGCCTCTGTAAAGAAAATAAAATTACAATTCTTTTTCATCCCTCTGAGATGTGTGATTTTGCTAATTTAAACTTGTCTCCATCATTAATCCAAATTAATTCTATTATAGGACTTAATAAATGATGGCACATATTTATGTGAAAAGTTGGGAAAACATAATCACTGATAAAGAATTACTATCCTAAAGGGTAGCTGCATATGGTTGAAATTACATAAATATCCTAGTGTCTTGTGACAACAGGTTTTTACAGGCTTCAAGACATCTGAATGTAAGTTCAACCTGTGAAAACACCTTGGAACACAGAAAGGGACATCACAGAGATTTGAAAACCAGCAAGAGATAGAAAATTTTTTAACTTTCAGGCAATGGAGAGTGGTGGACCGAAGGTGCTGGAAACAGCAGAGCAGATCCAGGAAAGGCGTCAAGAGGTGTTAACTCGCTACAGAAGGTTCAAGGAGCTGGTTGCTGAGAGGGGTCAGAAGCTTGAAGATTCCTATCACTACCAGGTTTTCAGACGGGATGCAGATGACCTAGAGAAGTGGATCTTGGAGAAACTCAAGATTGCCGATGATAAGAGCTATGAAGATCCGACTAACATACAGGTACTCCATTCCTGTGACTTCCCCAGAGCAGACTCTAAGATCTCCAGGGAGGGAAACATTCTTGTAATGTAAGTGTGTATTTAACTATAAGGGCATGATATCATAGAAAGTTCAGACTTCCTGTTAGGGACCATAATTCTGTCACTAAATGGCCCGTGTCCTTAACTTCTTAAGCCCATGTCTTATGTACAGAGGAAACTCACCCTATGAAAGTAATTCTGGTCTGAAGTTCTGCTATGGGCATAACAGTGACTGAGAGTTCGAAGAAGTTATGACCTATGAGGAAACTTTAATATTTCAAGGTTATGAAATGTCAGGGCTTCCACTCTGCTGGGAGATTTTTCCCAGGTTTCTCCCAAGGGGTTATCCATGCCCTTGCTCAGTCCATGTGACAGGTGTCAGGAGGAGGCTCCTCTCCTTCCTTCTATCACAGCATGTGACAGAGTCATGACCAGAAGAAAGGGTTACCTACCTAAAAGGGGTAGTTGATATTGGAGAGGAAGCATCTGGATCAAGAACAGAGTGATATCTATTAAAAAGATTGATACACGTATGACAACAGGAGTATTAACTAATAAGCAGAAACCTCTCAATTTAAAAAAAAGGCCATTATATTAATGATCATTTTCATCATTGTGTTCAGCTTTCCATAGCACTTACTTCCTCTATTCTGAAGAGGAACAAATATGGGACATCTTTTCATTCTCACCGAAGGCAAGTGAGACTTAAAAATAACAGGGTAATTACTGGAAACTCCCCAGAGTCATGGGGGACAGGACAAAACATTTTCCTGGCTCCCCTAACCTTGTGCCTGGATTGGCCTGAAGTGGTCATTTCTTTTAGGATGTGACTTCTCCAGCTCTGGTCATGGGTTATCTCTTTATCTGGGTTGTGAAACAAGTAGTTCTGCCCAAAAGTAAGAAAAGGAACTTTATGCTCTAGGCATACTAGGGTTCATTAGCCTTAACTTCTGATTTCTAAACTTCAGGCCAAGTATCTGAAGCATGAGTCCTTCGAGGCAGAAGTACAAGCAAAATCAAGGGTCATTCCTGAACTGGAAGAAATCAGGGAAACCCGATTTGCTGAGGGGCATTTTGCCCACGAGGACACCAAGGTAAATGTATGGTAGGGTTCTGTAAGAGACGTTTCCAATTGTTGATTATGTCAGCAGAGTTTTAAGTTACTATGCCAGGTCTAAAGCTTGATATAGGGGGTTTGGAACCAGGGTTCCTGCCTCTTATCTTCCACTGGGGTGGGGCAGGAAAGATGGTGGACGTCTTCATGTCCCCTGGGGCAGGAAGAAGAGAGCAATGATACAAAACAGATCCTGGGATGGCATCGCATTCCTCCTTGGCCACCGGAAGACAACTTCCCTTAAGATCAAGCCCTCTTTAACCTGGTTGCATGTGTCTCTGATGAACTGGCTTTCCCAAATGCCATTTCTAACGATTTCTTCTGACCTCAGAGTCCTTGTCCCTCACACTCTCCAAACAAGGGGTGTGGCGTCATGTGAGTCTTCTCTGAAATATCTCTCCCTTGTCTGTGATACCTCCCTCTCTTCACAGCCCACATGCTGTGACTAATATTATAGTTCTTGAACTCCACTCTTCTGCTCATTTTGAAAAACTTCTAAAATCCCTTCTCTTCAGAAAATCTTCCCTAAACCCTGAAGACTGAAGACCACCATCACTTTGGAATTCATTACTCATGTATCAATTCTTTCCTGACAATTCACACTCTCTTCCAACACATTTGTGTTGATAGAGTCAATTCAGGAGCTCTCCTGCATGAGTAGATTAGTTTGTTTTTACTGTTGAAGTTTGTTTGAAATTGTCACACCGAATTTATGTGACACGGTCTTTCTACACTTCATACAAATTCTAGTCCATTTTACAGTCAACAAAATATGGTCGGAGAACACGGACTTTAACAGAAGAGAACCTTATTGAAAAGAATAGTCCATAACAAGAAAAATCTCAAAAATTATGTATTGATATAAAATAGATTTTTTTTCTGTATTACTCACAGCTTTGTGTGCCACTAATCACCTACATTAATTAAAATAGTTAAGACATGTTTGAGACATCTTCACAACTATCAGACTCACTGAGCTCCATCAGACCACAACACTGGAGAATTCAGGGAGAGATGTGATCTCCCGGCTACCGTAAACAATGGTGTAGTTGAAAAATTCCAGATTTCTGAGGACATGCCATAGACAGTACCTTGAATTTGATAAGTTATATAATCTGTGATCTTCTAAGCTAACCTGGCATCAAAGCCTGCAATTACATAGTCTTAAATTCTCTTACTGCTTTGGTGCCAGTAATTTCCATTATAAATTAGCAACATTGTAGCTCTTACTCTTCCTGGCAAACACTCATGCTAAATTTCTTCCATGACTTGCCAGTACTTAGAACATCTTCTGCCTGTCCCCTACCTGTGAAAATCCTATCTGTTCCTCAAGCTCCAATTCAAATCGAGCACTGTTATGTGAATCCTTATTCCATCCTGTCTCATTATTTATGATCCTTTCATCCTCTAAAACCTCAAAGCATTTTTACATTTTTTTCTCATGTGCAGATCACGTGTGGCTTGATTTAACATCTACTCCGAGGCACATCGATTTCCTCCTTTAAATATCTGTTGAGCAATTAATGCACTAGAGAATGCAATTTTTATCCAGGGCCCTCTCTGCACGTATCTCCAAGTCCTGCCGCTCCTCAGTAGGTACGGTGCCTGAGCAGTTTTGTGTCTCTGCCCAAAGGCCCATCTGGAAGAGCTGCGCAGACTATGGGACCTGCTGCTGGAGCTGACTCAGGAGAGGGGCGTCCTGCTGCTGCGGGCCCTGAAGCTTCAACAGTACCTGCAGGAGTGCGCTGACATCCTGGAGTGGATTGGAGACAAGGTACGGGACCCACAGGACACAAGCAGGGCTTTCCCTCCCTGTCCCAGGCACCCCCCTGGCAATCTAATGCAGGCTGCTGGGAAAGCAGTCTGGGTGTCTGTTTCTGGATTTTGTTCCTTGAAAGAAGCCATTCTGGCAAAGATGTAGGGGTATCCCAGAGATTAGTGACCTTGTATGTAGGGAAAAGTGCCCTGGGCTTGTCCCTGTCTCCCTCCCACCATCCTTCGCTCCTCCTCCTAAGTTTTTGCTCTTACTCTGGATTCAGGCTGAGGGTGTTACTGGCTCCTCTCCTAAGGGCTGCCTCTCAGTACCTATAACTAAGGAGGTCTCTATTTTTGGAGTATCTGATGGAGAGGCCGTAGGTAGGACTGCAGAGGCCCCCATGTGAGGGCTCAGTCCAGGGCTGTCGCAGACACCAGTGGGTTGAACTGAGTAAAATCAGGATGAATTTATTTTTCATGTTCCAGAACACACAAGGGCACTTCCAGGAGCCTTGACCAACCATGTTCCTGATCTTTCCGAAGGATTACCCCAAAGAGCAATGTCCCTGGGACCTGGATACTCCCTCAGGAAATATACTCCTGCCTCGGGCTCTCTCCTGAAGGGCCTCTCCCAGGCTCCACCAGCCACTCCTTCTGAGCTCTCCTGGGAGGGTGTGCAATGGTTTTGGGCATCTGATCTGCAAAAATTACTTGCTACTGACTCAACAGACTGCCCTTACCCACAGGAGACCATAGTGACGTCCGTGGAGCTGGGTGAGGACTGGGAGCGCACCGAGGTTCTGCATAAGAAGTTTGAGGAGTTCCAAGCAGACCTGGAAGCTCGACGGGAGAAAGTGGAAGGAATAAACCAGTATGCCAGAGAGTCCGCCGAGGTGAGGTGGGGAGCAAAGGGTCAGCGCGGGGGAAAGGTTCTGGTATCCAAAACCTTCCAGCCATCAGTAGATGGGCTAAGAAGGACGTGGGACATTGTGAGAAAACAGGGATGCATGACCCTGTGGCAACATGCCCGGGGCAATTTCCTCTCCTGTCTGGGTCCATCTCTTGTCCGTCCACGGAAATAGAGGCGTGAGCGGGTGACCCAGTGTTTGTGCGTGCACACGCATGTGTGTGGAGGTCCTAGACCACAGCGTGGTAACTCCTGGGCAGAACGCCCATCACCCATGTTCATGCTGTACCCTTTCCTCATGAAGAAGAATGAGAATGAAGTAGCAAGGGATATAAAATACTGGAGCGCTCTCCTAATGTATACGATGTCATTATACATGATGTTTTTGCGAGAGGGGAAGACGGGAGGTAGTTTAACTTTCATTCACTCAAGACAGTGTTTAAACAGATTTTCAGCATCTGAGCAAACAATTTGGTGTGGGCATAAATAATATTAGGATATGCGGGAAGACTGGGGAGCCCGTCTGATTTCATGTGCCGTGAGGGAACTAGAAACTCTGACTGTCGGCTGCTGTGCCCGTCCCTTTGGTTTCTTCATTGCCTCAGCTCTCATACAGGGACACTCCTTCTGTAGTAACAGAGCAGAGACTTCAGGCTGAACGGGTATTGGAGTACAGGAAGTAAACTGCATCTCAATTTTTTTTTCAGGTCACGTTTCCAACAATCTCTAAACTTTCTCTCTCCACCACCTTTGTCTCATTGTGGAAGTTTCTCGGTTATTCAGTGCTATCTAACACACTGTCCCCAAACTTCAAACAACAAACTTGTTCTTTTTCCCCGATTTGGTGATTCAGCTGCCTGGCTAGGCAATTCTCCTGATCCCACCTTAAGGGCTACAGTTGGGGTGGAGGGTCTAAAATGGCCTTGCCCCCATGTCTGGGGCCTTGGTTCTCACTTTCCAGGAGTGCATGCTTTGTGTATGTGTCAGTGGCCCAAAGGTAAGAACAGAAGCTGAAATGCCTCTTGAGACCAAAGGGCAGGAGCTCGGATCATTCAAGTCACATTCTATGGTAACCCAGGCCTAGGCCAACCCAGACCCAAAGCCTGAGGAAATGGACTTCCCTTCTTGCAAGGAGGCTTCATGGCAAAATAACATGGCCGTTTTGTCTAATCGACCATAGGACGGATCGATTCTTACAGAGCATGGCCTCTGCTCTTGTGGAGTGGGACCCACACACAGCTACAAATACAAAGGCCGTACATTCAGGGAGGGGAATGTAGAAAATTCCATCTGGAGAGGATTCAGAATGGGGATGGAAATTCTAAGAGACAGGGACAGAAGGAGTAGGAAGACTTGGATGCATAGGAACTGCTCGAGATTGCCAAGTGTCCAAATAGGCTGATACCATTACCTTGATCTAGTATACATACATCTCAGTGCTCATTGCAGATGATTTGCAACGATGCATGAGATTTTCTGCAAAATTAAATGTGTGTGCATGTAATTCTGGGAAGAGGGAAACATCTCTCATTAGATTCTCAAAGGTGTCGGGACCCCAAAGGAGTTAAGAACCACAGTAGTAGAGTTTTGGAAAATAAAGTCCTAGTTCACAGAGGGAATTTTTTCTTCCTGGGTTTTCCCAGGACTTGGCAGGCATCAACAGGGTGGAATTCTGAAAATAACTTCATGGCCGGGTAATCCGTTAATAGTCCTTCCCAGGGCCGTGAGCAAAAGATAGAGTATCCAACGGGTTGGCTTCTGGATCTTGGTAAAACTAGGGCACAGGGCTATGGTGAAGATTGGCATCTGGCTAGATGATCTTTCTCTATGCCTGGCAAAGTAGGAACCAGTGTGAAATGAGAAGTGTTCAATGATTTTTGGAATAGGCTCACCTTTGCCTATCCTCAGCCCTGGTTTCCTTCCAGGAGAACCATCCTGAGCTGCCCTTGATCAAGCTGAAGCAGGATGAGGTGAACGAAGCCTGGGAACGTCTCCTCAATCTGGCTCTGCAGCGGCAGGAAACGCTGTCCAGTGCCGCAGACCTCCAGCGGTTCAGAAGGTATGAATCTGGCCAACACGTTATGGGAACCTCTGCAACAGCACCGTGTTTGTGCTTGTGCTAGCTTCTGGCTAAGGTTAGCAATTAGTGGCCAGTATCTCAAACCAGAGTAAATCATGTGCTTGCACCTGAGGCAGCAAGGGAGAGTGTAGTTAAGGCAACTGTGACCCACCACACAGCCAAGTGTGCGGTGACTGGATCCCAGAGCAATGAATCTGACACAGGTGAATTAGTGATGGAAGTGCTGCGAGATAAGGAATGTGTATCAGGACCTGGATGGGAGTGGAAGGTTGAGTGGGAAGAAAAAAGACAGTAAGAGCTGACCCAGATATGGGAGGTATATCTAAAGGCCCAAGGACCAGATAACGCTCAGGCTTCTACATCTCAAAGGAAACCATCACAAGCAGGAACTCTTACATTACTTTTTGCTAGTGAGTAGGAACTCAAGGTAATTGCTAAATGAGTGAACCAGGGTGGTCCTTGCTGTGTACGTTGTTTGCCCTGGAATGCCTGCCATTGTCTTTGTTGGGACTTATGTGGCTCTCTGGCAGGGATGTGACTGAAGCCATTCAGTGGATCAAGGAGAAGGAGCCTCAAGTCACCTCTGAGGACTATGGCAAAGACCTTGTTACCTCTGAGGCCCTGTTTCATAGTCACAAGGGCCTTGAGAGGAACCTTGCAGTCATGGAGGACAAGGTAAGCCACTGTTGGAAGCCTGGCTGGTCTCTTGGCCTGGGAGAGGTGTTTGGTGGATACCTTGCCTCCAGAGGACACAGTAAATTCACTATTTTGATAAAGGAGAAATTCCTTATCCCTGAATACACTTCCTTGTTCTAGTTCATAACTTTTCCATGGAGTTTTATTTAAATATATGTACATGTTTTATATACTCGTGTGTGTGTGTGCGTGCGTGCGTGTGTGTGTGTGTGTGTGTGTGTGTGTGTTTTGTAAGGTACTTCATGATTTAAAAACAAAAAAAGCTACCTCCAGGAATGGTTTCCTAATCTTATTCAGGACCTGCAGTCAGAGAATCTTTCCTTTTGTAAAACCACATTTCTGTCAGTTCCAGCTGAATCCTATTTCTTTTTGTCCTTCTCTCAGTAGATAAGGGAAGAAATTTATCCTTCTTCTTCACCTTCTCACCCTCCTCCTCCTCCTCCCCATCTGCTGCCCCTTCCTTCCTTCCTTCCTTCCTTCCTTCTTCTTTCTTATCTTCTCCCTTCAAATAAACTCAGAGACACCTAGAGCATGTTACTAGATCCACTTTTCGGTTCTCTTCTGAAAGCTGGAAGACCCTAGTCCCTATCTCTAGAGGAAGAGACAGAGGCAGGTTCGAACTTGGAGTAAGCCCCTACCCGTGATAGGCTCCCATCCTTGCTTCTTCCCCTTACGACATTACCCATAACCTCAACCAACTCCTCCAGAGTGTGTACAGTGGAGTCAGCCCTGAAGGTCCCCACATGCTGCCCCTGACCATAGCTTTGTCTCTAGAACCAGTTTCCGAAAACTATCCCATTATTCTATTTCTTTCATTCTTGCTCCATTTTTGTATTTTGACTTTTTCCCCTAATAATGAATAATAAAATCCCATGATTTGATGCATAATGATAATGAAATTTTAAATCCTAGACAACACCTGATTGTAGTTAAATATAATGTAAGCACTAATGGTAACATGTGGGAAAGTCACCCATACCCACATTTTTGACCCTTGCTCCTTAGGAATTGTTCTCAGAATGGTCTGGTATTGCTAGAATTCTTGGCAGAAATTCTCCTGGGCAAGAGTATCTCTCTAATTCTCACAACAGTATTTATGAGACAGTATAGAGTGTGGTGAAGGACAGTCTGAGGTCCAGCCTTGCTTCTGACACTTAGTAGCTGAATGACCTTGACCAAATAAAATACTTTACCTCTCAGTTTTCATGTGAAGGAGGAAATAAAAATAGTTTCTGCTTCTGAGTGTTATTTTAAAAAGATAATAAGTCAGTGCATGTTCAGTGCTGAGCAGCAAGCACTCAATAAGAGACAAAAGTGGTCAGTACATTATTATTGCTGATATAGTATGTTAGCATATTAATACAAAATTATCTTTGAAAAACAGTGTGGAGAGTGCTCAAAAAATTAAAAATAGAGCTTCCCTATGGCCCTGCAATTGCACTATTGGGTATTTACTCCAAAGATACAGATGTAGTGAAAAGAAGGCCCCAATGTTCATAGCAGCAATGGCCACAGTCACCAAACAGTGGAAAGAACCAAGATGCCCTTCATCAGACAAATGCATAAGGAAGATGTGGTCCATATACACTATGGAGCATGATGCCTCCATCAGAAAGGATGAACACCCAGCTTTTGTATCAACATGGACGGGACTGGAGGAGATTGTGCTGAGTGAAATAAGTCAAGCAGAGAGAGTCAATTATCATATGGTTTCACTTACTTGTGGAGCATAAGGAATAACACGGAGGACATTAGGAGAAGGAAAGGAAAAGTGAATTGGGCAAAATTGGAGGGGGAGATGAAACACAAGAGACTATGGACTCTGAAAAACAAACTGAGGGTTTTGGAGGGGAGGGGGTTGGGGGATTGGATGAGCCTGGTGATGGGTATTAAGGAGGGCACGTATTGCATGGAGCACTGGGTGTGGTGCATAAACAACGAATCTTGGAACACCGCATCAAAAACTAATGATGTATTTCATGGTGACTAACATAACACAATAAAAAATAAAATTATTTTACTTTAACATTTTAATTTACTATTTGTTATTTTTATATTTATTATGCATTTTATTTAATATCTTTATTTATTTTAATTTAATAAGTATGTTACTGTTATCAATAGTTATTAGTTGTTTTGTCAGATCCCTCCCATAAGACTTGGTCAGGATGAATCAGAGTGCTTGGATTTCCCATTAGGTTTCTTTTTCATCCCAAAGGTGAAGGAGTTATGTGCCAGAGCAGACAAACTGATGCTTTCCCATCCTCCAGAGGCATCTCAGATCCAGCAGATGAAAGAGGACCTAGTCTCCAACTGGGGGCACATTCGAGCCTTGGCTACCAACAGATATGCGAAGCTGGAGGCTTCTTATGGGTCAGAAATCTCTCCTCTCTGTTGCTCTGACTATCTCTACAGGGTTCAGATATGACATCAAAAGCAGAAATAAAGAGTGAAAAGAATGGAATAATGAGGGACCCAGCCCTCCTGCCTGTTGGTGGTGGAGGCAAAGGAAGCTTTGTTTGTTAAGGGAAGCCCTCTGCTGGCGGACATAGCACCCAGCACGACTCCTCCCTGCACTGTACCCCATTGGTCTTCCTCTACTTAGAAACTGTAGAATGCTATCAAATGGCCCAAGCACCTGGAGAAGCAGCTAAAGAAGCATCAAAATCCCCAGCCCTAGCTCAGGAACTGAAGTAAATTTCCAAGCTGAACAGTGTAAAAATAAATCTAGAATTATTTCCTGAATGTGGGTTAGCTTGCCAAAATGTTGGGTATCATTTCAGTAGTTAATGTTTATAGTTAGTCATTAAAACACCAGAAAGCAGTGTTTATCTTACTTTTAAATTCCAAATTAACTGGTGACCATTTAATTATTTGAATAGGTAAACGTTTTAGAGCCTTGTTTTTAGTCATAGGGTTAAGGGTGAGCTAAGGCACGCCAGGGCTCCTGGCCTTGACACTGGTCCCCTTTCCTGCCAGGTGCCCAGTGTTATTCATGTGTCATGTCTTATTTATTGGCCCCATTGAGAGGACTTTATTTCACTTCATGGGCCTCTGGGGTGGTGTGACCTTGTGATGTTGGAGAAGCAAGGCGCAGATGCCTCATTACACAATGACGCACCCATCCCGGGAGTAATCAACCTGGAGTGAAGGACAACCTGCCCGACGTGCCCCACTAAAGAAACAGGAAGCCCATCGTGGGGAGGGAAGGGGTAGGAAGAGGTAGGATTAGTATTGTATATCTCAGCTCAACCCAACCCTACCTCTTGACTTGGTCCACGTACACCTCGTTTCTCCTTCCTGTCCTTTACCTTACCTTTCCTTTAGGTACCAGAGGTTCTTATCTGACTATGAGGAGCTCTCAGGCTGGATGAAGGAGAAGTCTGCTCTGATCAGTGCTGATGAGCTGCCCACAGATGTGGCTAGTGGGGAGGCCTTGCTGGACAGGCATCGACAACACAAGGTAGACAGGAAGAGACCCCTGCCACCCACGGGAAGAGGGAGGGGCCAGGAGTGCCAGAAGGTTTCTTGCTGCATTTTAAGACATTTTGTCTTGTGGCCACAGCACGAGATTGACTCTTACGATGAGCGATTCCAATCTGTCGATGAGACTGGTCAGGCTCTGCTAGATGCTGGTCATGAAGCCTCCGATGAAGTTCGGGAAAAGGTAACCCAGTTGAACAGTGGGTGGAATTTTGATACATATTTTGCTCCACTTAATCTCATAATAATATGAAGCATGCTACCCACTCAGACCTTGAAGTCGTAAGAGAAAAGCCCACTTCTTGTCCATGTATGCATCTTTCCAAAGGCCTCGCACTTACTAGATGCTCACGTTGTCTCTTCCTTTCCAAAGATGACAGCACTTGCCAATAGCTGGGCAGCCCTGCTGGGGCTGTGGGACCAGAGGCAGCTTCAGTACCTGCAGTGCCTGTACCTGCACCTCTTCTATCGCGACAGCGAGCAGGTGGACAGCTGGATGAGCAGACAAGAGGTAATGGGGGGGAGGGGGGCTTAGTGAGTGTCCAGAAGCCATTTCCCCCACACCTCATTTATCCCATGACTACCATCGGAACCCTCACAACCACTTCTGTGGTCTGGAGATTGTCTTAGGAAGTAGAGGGTGATCTACAGGAAGAAGATGAGATCAGCCCCTTCTTTGAGGCTCTTACAATTCCCTCATGAACAGATGACTAGAAAAGTACCTAAATACAGCAGAGGAGCATTAACCTCCACTGAACATAAGGCCAGATGAATATCACATTGCTGAGGGGTCAGGAATAGAAAGTTGTGATGAGTCAGGGAAGGTCAACCAGAGATTTCCTGGAGGAGGTGACTGGTCCTTTTGAGGCAGTGTTGGGAAGTCAGAATGGAGCAGGGATTGGCCAGGACAACTCTATGTGGACAGAACCAGAAACAAAGGTGATCAAGTTGTGTGAGAGGATTGGGGAGGAGTCTGAAGTTCCTGCTGTTCAAGGTTGGTCCCTACCCACCAGCCAACCATATCCCACCTTGCTCTCCCAGCGTCTCCTCTCCATCCTTAGTCCTTGTCTCAGAGATGCTCCAAAAGCAATGTTTCTCACCAATGAGGAAGAGCTGAGATGTGTCTCTGTCTTCTACAGGCCTTCCTGGAGAATGAGGACTTGGGGAACTCCCTGGGCAGTGTGGAAGCCCTTCTTGAGAAGCATGATGACTTTGAAGAGGCCTTCACCGCCCAGGAGGAGAAGATCACAGTGAGATATGGGCTCTGGCATGGGCACCGGCTCTGTGTTTGTGTCACTTCATACAACACCCGTCCTTAGAGAGAACCACTTATCACTTTCAGACATAACATGAGGGTTCTTTTCGAAAGAGAAAACATTCAGAAAAGTAATCATACCCATTTTTACCATCACATCTTTTATTCCACAAAGCATTTAGAAAATTTTTAAAGAGGAATTTTTTTAGCCACTTATGTTTTCCCAGTGAAGTGATGATTGTTTTATTTTTTTTCTGCAGCATAAACAGATATTATTGGATCCATATCTGACACAGAATCATGACTTGGAAGTTTGAAGTGTATTATTTACTTTTTCAGTTTTTTTCCTCTCCAGTAATGTCTCCCATTTAGTTTTCTCTAGTAACATCTAGATGTCTAAGCAACATCTATTCTTTTCCTGTACATCTTCAGCTTTGTGTTTCTTCTCCAAAGTGACCACAGCTTTCCTGTGAACCCTACACTACGATGCCCCAGAAACTGGTCAATGTATAAGCCGGGCTCAGACAAGTGTGGGAGGATTTTATTGGTCCAATGTACTGTATGTCTTTGGTGGTCCCCTCAGCTGGTTCTGGCTTTTAACCCATACATCCTACCACTGGCAACAGCAGCAACCAGAACAATAGAATTCCAAGTCAATACGGGGATTAATACGGTCCTTACCCATCCATATGCTTGCTCTGTTGATTTTTATTGGTAAAAACTAACTAACAGTATAAAATAAGTTGTTGTTTATAAAATGCTATCATGTGTTTTAGTTATTTTCCCATTCTCTATCACTTAATCCACCCTGAGTTCTAACAATTTGAGGAGTTCATGAATGAATATCAGTAAAAATTTTTAGCCCTTCTTCCTATGAGGCTAGAGATATAAATACATATAATCGGGCAGAAAAGGGAGGGAGGGAGAGCAAGAGAATGAGAGAGTGAGAGCGAGAGGCTGGCCACTGGACATGACTATATCCACAGTGCTTCCTCTTGAAAACTTAAGAACAGGAGCACCTGGGGGGCTCAGTCTGTTAAGCCTTTGACTCTAAGTTTCAGCTCAGGACTTGATCTCCTGGTCGTGAGATCAAGCCCTGAGCAGGGCTCTGCATTCAGCATGGAGTCTGCTTGGGATTCTCTCCCCCAACTTGAACACATGCTCACTCTCTCTCACTCTCTCTAATAAATAAATAAATACAGTCCTAAAAAAAATTAAGAATAGATCAAATATTCACCTTCAAGTGACATCAAAATTCATTTACTATAACCTCGATATTAAAAATATTATGGCATCAAAGAGAGTAATTAACTCATCAACTATACATTCTGAAACGGAATCTGTAATAGAAATCAGAACTAGGTCCCAGATGTCTGACCCTGGGAGTTGTTCTCTTCCCACATTGCCACGCTTTCTTTTTCAACAGCTAACCCGGTGGTGGCCACTTACTCAGGGGACTCTGAGGGAAAACCACTCCAGTTTTTGTTGTTTTGTTTTTCAGACCGTCGACAACAATGCAACGAAGCTGATCAACGGTGGCCATTACGACTCTGAGAACATCGCTGCTCTGCGGGATAGCGTATGTCGGAAGCCCCGGACGCGCGTCTGCCCGCCTGTGCCCTGGGGCCCGGGGAGGAGGTGGGGCCCAGGGACCGAGCTGGGCAGTGAACCCCGTGTTCACACTTGGCTTTGATGACCATGAGTTTCATCTTCGTTTTTGCAGCTCTTGGCCCGGCGGGACGCCCTACGTGGGAAGGCGGCCACTCGGCGCAAACTCCTGGAGGATTCCCGGCTTCTGCAGAAACTCTATGAAGATTCAGATGACCTAAAGAACTGGATCAATAAGAAGAAGAAGTTGGCAGATGACGAAGATTACAAGGTAAGTGGGTTTTTGGACCCTGGGCACACCCATCAGGACTGTTTCAGGGGGCCGGAGTCTTAGAGCTGAAAGGACTGGTGAACCTCTTGCCCTGAGTCCCTCAAGGCACGATACTTGGTTAAAAGCAAAGAATCTGGTTTCTGGATTTCCTGTGTCCCACCACCTCTCATTTCTTTTCTTCGGCACAAATTCTCTTTTTCCTTTCCTTTCCTTTCCTTTCCTTTCCTTTCCTTTCCTTTCCATTCCTTTCTTCTTTTATTTGTTCTTCTTTTCTTTTTTAAAAATTTTATTTATTTATTTGAAAAAGAGAGAGAGAGAGAGAGAGAGAGAGAGAACAAGGGGATGGGCAGTGGGAGAGGGAGAAACAAACTCCCCCTGAGGAGGGAGCCTGACACAGGAGCTCGATCCCAGGACCCTGGGATCAGGACCTAAACCAAAGACAGACTCTTTACTGACTGATGCATCCAGGCACCCTTCTCCAGCACAACTTCTAATGCCCCATAACGGAGTGGGGGAAGGGAGGCATGGCGCCTTATTTAGCTGCTTCTTGTCCCTCCACCACCTCTGCTGCTTCCCTCTGCACCTTGTAATAGAAACATTATGTCTGATCCCGTTGTAGGTTCAAATTTACTCAAAGCTCCTAGGAACCCAAAGGTAATCTCAAGGTTTGACATAAAGCAGAGTTACACAGTTTTGTAGCTAGAAGGGAACAACCCCTCATTTTATTGATGAGGAAACCAAGGATTTGAATTGGAAAGTGACTTGCCCAGAGTTACCCAGTTATTTGGAAGGCATTTTAACATAAGTGTTAGAGCATGAATTCTGGAGAAGGTGAGCCTGGGCTCGAATTCTCTTAGTTCTGTCTTATTTATGTGACTTTGGGAAACCCTTGACTTCTCTCTAAGCCATAGATTTCTCTACCTTGGGGTTGTGTAAAACATGGATTTTTTTCATTCACAAGTGTTATATACTGCAAACTATTATATCCACATATATACACTCATACACTATCACACTTAGTTGAGGCTAGAATGAGTCTCCTAATTTCTAGGCCAATACCTATTCACAATATTTACTTTTGTTTCATATCTTTATAGAACTATGGGCACCTTATCTGTACCTTTCGTCTTGTTAAACTTGGAAATATGTGTTTGTGTTCTTGGGAGGAGGTGTGGTTCCTGAGTACAGAAGGTATATAGATCTTCTCTAGAGGAAGAGACCATGCATCAGGACAGAAATGGGAAAAAATCTGTCATCGTTCATGACAGCTCCCTGTTTTGTTTTTCCTTCTTTTTTTTAAATTTCAAATTTTTATTTAAATTTTAATTAATGAACCTATATGGTAAAAGGGGTTCCAGGAGTAGAGTGCAGTGATTCATCACTTTCATATAACACCTACTGCTCATCGCAAGTGCCCTCCTTTATCCCCATCCCCCATCTCGCCCATCCTCCTGCCCACCTCCTTTCATCATCCCTGTTTGTTCTCTATCATAAAGGGTCTCTTATGGTTTGCCTTCCTCTTCCTGCCCCCCTCCCCTATGTGTATCTGTTTTTGTTTCTTAAATTCCACATATATGAGTGAGATCATATGGTACTTGTCTTTCTCTGACAGATTTATTTCTTTTAGCATAATACACTCTAGATCCATCCATGTCATTGCAAATGGCAAGATGTCATTCTTTTTGATGGCTGAGTAATATTCCATTGCTTATATATACCACCTGTTACTTATCCATTCATTGGACGATAGACATTGGGTTCTCCCCATAGTTTGGCTACTGTTGATCATGTCTGATTGTTAATTCGTGCATGAGGTGCCATATTCAAAATGATCTTTAGGAGATGTCTAGGCTGCTCGAATTGATTAGCCATGTGTGATGTGTGGCTAGGAGGGGTTGGCCACATGAGTTTGTTCACTTTCTCTGGCTCAGTATTTGAACTAGGACAGTTCCCTTGTTTCCTCTCCTTAATGCAGTTGTATTTATAGTGAGAAGTAACCCCTATCTTCAAAATTTCTGCTTCCCATTCTTCAGATAAGTTTCCTTTATTGTTTGGACTTAGGACATACAGAACTTGAAGAGCCGCGTTCAAAAGCAAGAAGAGTTTAAAAATGAATTGGAAGATTATCAACGCCTGCTCGATACACTGGAGAAAACTGGCCAAGAGATGATTGAGGCTGATCACTACGCCTCGGACAAGGTGGCCGAGCGTGTGGATGAGGTGGTCAGTCTCTGGAAGGAGCTGCTGGCAGCTACAGAGCAGAAAGGTGAGAAGCAGAGGTTTTGGTGAACATCTACCTTCTAAGTTCTGAAACCTAGCATTTTAATCTCTACCACCTTGAATTTTCCTGGTGACCTCCATAAGAAGGGAGGCCACTCATTTCTTCCTGTATTGAACAGAGTTTTTATAAGTTAACATAAGTTTACCACATTATATACATACAACTTTATGTTATCTTCAGGCACATAGGTTTAAGTGAAATTACTTCTGTTTTCTTCTCTTTGCTCCCCCCCCTTTTTTTTTCTGTCTCCTTAACAAATATTCCAGAGCCATGAATCCAGTATTGGCTATGCACCTGAACCTGGTGTTCTCATGTTAGATTTTCCCTACTTGGGTTCTATAGATGAGACAAGATATTTTGATCCAGGTTATTAAAGTAGACATTACAAGATTGTCAGCACCACATGTGATGTTCTTACAATATTTTATTCTTTTTAAAAATTATTTTTATTAACATAAAATGTATTTAAAATATATGTAAAAATGTATTATTTGCCCCAAGGGTACAGATCTGTGAATCATCAGGCTTACACATTTCACAGCACTCACCATAGCACATACCCTCCCCAATGTCCATCACCCAGCCACCCTGTCCCTGCCCCCCCACCCCCAGCAACCCTCAGTTTGTTTTGTGAGATTAAGAGTCTCTTATGGTTTACCTCCCTCCCAATCCCATTAAAAAAAAAACAATATTTTATTCTTATAAATGGAGTTTGATGATGCTTTTTTCCACATATCTGAAAGTGTTCAGGCCCTGCTGTAAGCTCTTAAAAAAATCCCCACATGTCTGCTTGAATAACCTCTACTTACATTTAACCTCCCCTCTCTAGAAAATCAGTCAGTTGTAGTAATTAACACAAATAATGAGGTCTTCCTGTCGATATTCTTCTTGTGAGACAGAGACTCCACTTATAGACACAACTTTGCCCTGGTTATAGACTACATATACCACACTGATTCCTTTAGATATCAACCCAATTTGGCGTTTAGGGGGAAAAAAAAGCAAATTTACAGTAACAATAAGATGGTACTGCTACTCCCCAGTATCAGGAGATACAACAAGTACTTAGCAGAAATAATGTAAATGATCGTTCAAAGAATAAAGAATTTAGCTGAGAATGGTGTGGACAATCAAGAAATTTTCTGGAAGAGAAAATTATGAGGCAGCGCTCCTGATGAAGGACAGGTACCAGGAAGGGCTGGTAATGTTCTGAGAAAGACATTTATAAAAAGATAGTTCACAATTTCAAATGGAAACCCATCCCGATTTTTATACTTCTCTTGGGAAATGCAGAGTTTGGGTTTGAATCCCTTTGAAAAGGAGGTCTTGATAGAGAGTAACAGTTGACATATTAAACACCCAAGATGGTCAGATCTAACACAATAGGACTACCTCCTCAGCAGAGAATAAACAGATTATTTATCTTTGTTTTGGGAATGAAAGTTACTATATTTAAAAAGAAATACCATCCAAATTGCACAAATTTAAGATTTTTTTTTTTTGTATAATCACATATGGAATGGATATTTTTTCTCATTCGGATATCAAAATATTGTATTTCCCCCTAAGTCTGATGGAAGGTGTATTACTGTGTAGGGAGGAAGGGTCACGGTGTCTGTCGCATTCTTACTGCCTCACTCCAGGGAACCAGCTGCACGAAGCCAACCAGGAGCTGCAGTTCAAGAACACTGCAGAAGACCTGGAGCGCTGGCTGGGGGACGTAGAGCAGCAGGTGGCCTCCGAGGACTACGGAAAAGGCCTGTCTGATGTACAGAACCTACTCAGGAAACACGGCTTCCTGGAGTCTGCTGTGGGCGTCCATCAGGTCGGTTGCCAGCTCTCTGGCCATAGTAGACCGAGCTCCTGTCCATGCTCTGAGCATACTCGTAATAAGTAACTATTGACAGAGAAAGAGAGCAAGGAACCGAAGGCAAAAATTCTAGAATTTTAGTTGGTCAGCTGCCCTTCCTAAGACCTTGTCTGGTGCAGCCATTGTCCTGGGTGCGGTTGTCGGAACCCCTTGGCCGGGGGAGCTTTGTGGGCTCTCACTCTGACTCCAGAAACTTGGGCTTCGTATTCCTGCTCGTCACCTGATGCTGATAGGACCTTTGATGCATCTTTTCACCTTCTCACATCTCTATATGCTCATCTGTACCTCAAGGTTTGGACAACATGGCCTCTTCCTGTCCTGGCATTCCATGGGTCAAAGCTTGCAAATATCTTTAATCCTACTACTTTATTTTTTGGTTAAGAACATTGAAGCCCATAGCTGTGAAGTGACTTCCATGAGGTCACAGAGAGAACTGGCAGCAGGGCAAGGACTAGGATGTGGATGTGTAGGCTCTGAGTGCAGGGTTATTCCCCCGACATCCCACCATATTGCCACTTGAGTTTATCTAGTCAGTTGTGAGATTGTGTGATTTTTCTGGAGAACCGACTTCCAGCTGACTCACTTTCTCATCCAAGGGCTCCTAGCTTGTACTTAAGGATGACTCTGTTGTTCCCTAGAAAGTCCTCCTCTCCTGATCTATCTTGTTAAAATCCAATTCTATGATGTCTGCTCCTTGGGTTAAATGGGAAAGACAATAATCTACAGGAAACAGAAAACAGGAAAACAAGCCAAGGCCCTTAGATAACTCCAGGGATGGCTTGATGGGGGTGGAAACAAGGTAACAAAACAGTGAGATTCTTTTTGGAAATACCCCATTTCATCTCCTGGGCATTGTTCCTGGGATGCCAAAAAGTTTAGCCTGGGAAGTTTCCGTGTTAGTCACACCTGCAGCTCATTTGCAAGGGAGGAGGGTGGGAGGGGAAGTGGACAGAAAGTGCCCCTCTGTTTTCCTCCAGGCCATGGTTTATTAACACTCTCTGACAGTTACTTGTGGTTTATTAATACCCCTCATAGTTAAGGCTCTGTGTCTGTGGTTTCCCTGATTTCCTTGGCGCACTCTCTGTATATTCTGTTTTTCTGAAATGTTTAAGAATTACTTTCCTATAAATAGCTTTTGGGTGATGATGTGGCCCTCGGTTCAGCATCCCCTGTCACTCTGTTTCATGGATCTGGTTAGAAGTCATCACACAGTACTGGGGGAAGCTGATTCTCCCCAAAGCCTCCTCATGCTGAACCCCCCCCACCCCTTTCTACTAAACGATGGCATTTCCTGACACCTATTCTGTCTCTCCCTCAGGATCAGGTGGACACCCTCACAGACCTGGCGGTATATTTTGAAAAAATAGACCATCCTGATGCTGGAGACATAAAAGCAAGGCAGGAGTCTCTAGTGTCCCGGTTTGAAGCTCTTAAGGAACCACTGAGCACCCGGAAAAAGACGCTCATTGACCATCTCCTCCTGCACCAGATCTGCAGGGACACAGAGGATGAGGAAGCCTGGATCCAAGAGACTGAGCCCTCAGTGGCTTCCACCTACCTTGGTTAGTCCCTGAGCATGCACGGGCTGAGCCATAGGAGACCCAGGTCTGCAGACTCTCAGAGAGATCTGGGACAACCTGAGACACAGTTGTGGGGGATGCAGCGTTTGCTCTCAGCTCTTCCCTGTCACACTCAGGAACAATTTTTCCATCTTCCATAGAAGATTTTGTTAAAATTCATACTGAACAGTTTATCTCCTAAAGTAAACATGAACAATGCCATGAACTGAAGGCCTCTGAGAAGAGCTGGAGGGCTCAACCATTTGCTACTTGCTCTAACTAAAGTTACCGCCAAGGCCCTTGGCTGAGCCATCCTGGTTGGTGCTCGAAGTCCCAAATAATTGTGTCCATAGGGTCAGTGCCTCCCTTCTGTGAAGCTCTTAGCTATGGGAAAGAGAAAAGTGGTGGGACAGCAGAGAAAGTACATACCTTCCTTTCCTTTGGGAGCTGTCCATCACTGCCGGTGCTGGGGTGAAAGTGGATGCACACCCACACCCAACAGCGGGAGCATCTGGAGGGGCTGAGGATGACACTGAAGGGGCCAGCCTGGGAGAACTTCTGGAAGAGAAGAGACCTTCTGAAGGGTGGACAGGCATGGCGAGCTTCTGGGAAGTCATTTCGTGGGAAGTACAGGGAAGGGAATTTTGAAGGGAAGAGGGGAATGTGTGGATAGAAGATAGGTAGTTGACATCTGGAACTGGGGTGCTGAGAGGCTGGAGGAAATTAATAATGTGTAGCATTGTTAATGCTAGCAGCAAGGGAGGCATATTTTTATAAGTTATTTCTAATCTTTACAAAGAAAACTTTAAAACATATAACACATCATTTTCATGGTGAAAAACACCTAAGTTCGAGCATTTGATAACTTTCTGACACCCATAGGAATTAGTAAGTGGAAGAGTCTGCTTTTTACATTGTAAAATCTGAAACAAAATTGGTTGCGTGCTATTGAAAGTTCTGGTTGAAGAGTTACTTGCCTTTATGCCTATATAGTGACTTATTTATTATCTTTTGTAAAATAATGAGTTGAACTTTCTCAGGACAAAGAGACAAGGGGAACAACAGTGAGCAGAGTTAATTCGGACAAATGATATAAATTTCAGGAAGTCCAGACAGAGACTACAGCCTCAAAGGGAAAAACTTGTAGGTCCAAGAGTTATAAAAAGTAGAGTAGCCTCTTCTTATTTCATACAATAGAACAATACCTGGACTTAGAATTATTTTTCTCTGTAGGCAAGGACCTGATTGTCTCCAAGAAGCTTCTGAACAGACACCAAGTCATCCAGGATAACATTGCCAGTCATGAGCCAAGCATCCAAGCGATAACAGAGAAGGGAAACAAAATGGTAGAGGAAGGTATGTATGGTTCAGATTGAACTGGTCAATAATCACATGCTAAACTTAAAGGAAGAAGTTTGTTCAATTTTAGGGCTCTAAGGGAATTTAAAGATATCTGATTCACATTCCCTTTTAATGCAGAAATTCCCCGTGGGCATTTCCGACAGACACAATGATGATACAATATTGCTTATATAATCCAATAACAGGAAACTCCCTACCTCATAAATCAACCATTTGTATTCTTCAGTTAAGCCAAAATTATTAAATAAAATATTTTTATGCTAATAATCAATATGATCTTCTGTAGAAGTTTTAGAATTTAGAATTTAAGTTACAAAGCCCCAGAAAACAAATCAGGTCCTTTTCCCACATGGGAATTTCTGGATCTGTGAAGACTTGTCTCAGATCATTTGCATTTATTTATTTTGATCATTTACATTTAAAGCAGTTATAGTCTGGATAGTTAATAGTACCATTTCTTTAAATTCCTTATTTGCATAGTCTCAGTATCTCTCCTCTTCCTGGTTTCTTGTCTTTAAAAACCCCCTACTGCTTAAAGATGATGTTTGAAAATGAACATCAAAACATCAAGTTCTGGCTGTGCTATAAGCAACATAGATTACATTGGATCATCTCTCCTTTGATTCAAGAATAATTTATTGCCAACAAAAGAAGAAGAAGGAGAAGGAGGGGGAGGGGAGGGGAGGGGGGAAAGAAGGAGAAGAGGAAAGTGTTGCTAGCCAGCATCCAGCTATCAAAAGTATAGTTTGAAATTCACATTGTTGACCAAAAATTCAGATCTCAACTGAGGGATTCAAACTTAAAATGTTTATTTACAGCTCTTATTTTACTATAGTGACTCATCTTATTTCTTTCCTTGAATTGTAATTGTGGATTTCATCTATTTCATTCAGTTCTATCAGTTTTTGTTTCATGTATTTTGAAACTATATTTTTGTGTGCGTACATATTTAGGCTTGTTGTGTCTTCTTAATGAATTAAAATCTTTCACATTATGATAGATAGCCCTCTTTATCCCTGGTCATACCCTGAAGACTACTTGGTGCTACATCAGTACAGCCACACCAGCTGTCTTTGATTCATGTTTGCACAATATATGTTTCTCCATCTTTTTGGTTGTAGTCTATTTGTTTATGTTTAAAGCAGATTTCTTACAGAAAGCATAGAGCTAGGCTTCACTTTTATGTTATGCAATCCGGTAATCTCTCTCTTTTATGGGATTGTTTAGACCATTTAATTTTTTTTTAATTTTATTTTTTATAAACATATAATATATTTTTAACCCCAGGGGTACAGGTCTGTGAATCGCCAGGTTTACACACTTCACAGCACTCACCATAGCACATACCCTCCCCAATGTCCATAATCCCATCCCCCCTCTCCCAACCCCCCCTCCCCCCATCAACCCTCAGTTTGTTTTGTAAGATTAAGAGTCACTTATGGTTTGTCTTCCTCCCAATCCTATCTTGTTTCATTTACTCTTCTCCTACCCCCTTAACCCCCCATGTAGACCATTTAATTTTAAAGCAATTATTAATATGGTTAAGCTTAAATCTAACATCTTGCTATTCATTTTTCTTTGTCCATCAGTTTCCACTTCCTTTGGATTAATGATGCATTTATTACGATACCATTTTATCTCCATATTTGTTAGATATAGTTCTGTGGGGTACATGTCTATGGGAGATGTGTGCATATGTGTTTATTCTAGAGTAGTGATTCTCCAATTATGGTTTTGATAATGCTAAGACATTATTTGCCTTTTTTATATTCATTCTTTTGTAAGTGCACAGTGAAATTTTCTACATGATTTTTGATAATGCCTTTGCTCCAGTGGCTAATAGAATATATAATTGGATATTCTTTTTTTTAAAAGTTTTTGTTTCATTTTCTGATATGGTGACTATTAATAGATATCACCATATGAGCAAAAGCTCTTAGGGGTCCTCAATAATTTTTGAAATTATAAGGGGATTCTTAACTGTAGGGAACAAGCTAAGACTTATTGGAGAGAAATGGACAGGAGATGGGCTAGTTGAATGATGGGGATTAAGGAGGGCACTTGTGATGAGTCCTAGGTGTTATATATAAGTGATGAACCACTAAATTCTACACAAGAAACTAATTTTAGAAGCCAATTTTACCATGTATGTTAACTAACTAGAATTTAAATAAAAGCTTGAAATGAATTTAAAAAAAAATATAAGATGATTCTGGGAGCAAAAATTTACGAGCCACTGTTCTGCGATTTAAATATATAGATCGTTAATGTATCACATTCTAACTTTATAAAAGCATACTATTTCATGTGTAGAATAAGATCCGTAAGCAGTATGTTTCCATTTCTCCTATTTTCTCCTTTGTATATCGATGTCACACATTTTAATTTTACAAATGTTATAAATCCCACTGTAGATTGTTGCTAATTTTGCCTTACCAGTCAATCAGCTTTAAGAGTAAGAATGGAGTAAAAAACCCTTTTATATTTATTCTATATGTATTCACATACATTCACCTATTTTGTCCTTTGTTCCTTTGACTACATTGATATTTTTACCTCATAATTTTTCTTCTACATGGAGAGCTTTCCCTAATAGCTCTTGTAGTGCAGGTCTGCTAATCCTACATCCTCTAAGCTTTTGTTGGTCTGAATGACTTCATTTGGAAGCACATTTTTAGCTGACACAAATTCTTGGTTGACAGTTTCTTTCTGGAATTAAAGATGCTGCTGCTTTGTCTGTCGACTTGTGGGGCTTCCGATGCGGAGTCTGCTCTCACTACTATCTCTGCTCCTCCCTGTGTAAAATACCTCTTTCCCCTGTTACTCTTTTAAGCTTTTTATCACTGGCTTTCAGAAATTTGATTACAGTATAACTTGATGTGGTTGTCTTTGTTTGTTGAACTTGTGATCACTGAAGCTCTTGGAACCTCCAGGGAGCACTCTTAAGCTGGAACTGATTTAACGATGGGGCCAGTACTGAGGTGTCGTTCTTCTGGTCCACTTTGGTGGGAGCTGATGTTAACTACTTGCAGCTCTATGTTGAGCCTTAGGGATTTGGGCCTCCTGCTTTTCCACCCCCTTGTCCTAACCTCGAGGAGTCTCCTGACATGGGCGTGTAAGTCTCAAACATGCGAGGAGACCCCCTGTACATCTCCAGGGCTCTGTCTGTGTGTGGTATCCTTCCTTGGCCCCCTGCTCTTCGAGCTTGAGTGGTCTTGCCTGTCCCGGCTCACTCTGCCTGCTCAGCTCCGTGTGCCAGCTCGTTTTGTGTGGCGTCACCCCGGCCCTATAGCCCAGAGATTGCCCTGCACGTGGGGGCACATCTCATTTCCTTCCCTTCTCTGAAGAGTCACAGTCTTCTGCCTGTGGTCTGGACGTCGTCATATGTTGCGGTCTGTCTTGTTTTCTCGTTGTTAGGGTGAGAGAACTGGTCGTGTGGTGATAAATCCCTTCTGGGCAGAATTGGCGATCTGTTGGATTTTCTGTTTATTCCAGAAAATACATGTTTTTGGAACCCTGGGTAGGACCCACACGAAGTCTTCTGTTTTCAAGTCTAAGTACCGCCGACTATGCCACACCCTTCACCACCACACAGACACACGCATCCTCCCTGACCACCTACTGATGTTCCGTCTTGGAACATTCTAACTCCCAGGAATTTAGGTGAATTGCCACACTGACAGCGTAAAGCAGCAGCCTCATGCCTTCCTTTCTCTCTCCCATGTCACCAAGGGGACTAAAGGAAAGTGATGTTACTGAGGGCAATACTCAACCTTTCTCTAACTCCTCCACAGGGCACTTTGCTGCAGAAGATGTGGCCTCTAGGGTCAAGAGTTTGAATGACAATATGGAGTCTCTCCAGGCTCGGGCTGGCAGACGGCAGAATGATCTTGAGGCCAATGTCCAGTTCCAGCAGTATCTGGCTGACCTGAATGAAGCAGAAGCATGGATTCAAGAGAAGGAACCTATCGTAGACAACACTAACTATGGGGCTGATGAAGAAGCAGCTGGGGTAAGGGGGCATGGAGGTGGACATTGCCTAGTTCTCACCAAATGGTACCGAATTAGATTGTGGGATGGCTATAGGTTCTGTGAGATTATTTGGGTGTTTTCAGAGTGATAATCTTTGGCCTTGCTTTGGTTGGGATAACCTCGGAGTTGACACAAATCCTAAAATGTACAGTACATTTTCCTGATCCCACAGAAGTTTATCGATTCCTTAAAGATTATCTAAACCCCAAAGGGCACGGCCAGAGATCTATGCATGTCTTGGTCCATCCTAAATTTCCCAGAATAACCTTGGGCTTTCACAAACCAACCATGGTTCTAAGATATATACAGTTTCATTACTTTATTGACATAAAATCAGGCAGACATGTTGGGACAAGAACCTCAAAGGTCATAATCACTGTCTATGTCTGCTTCTGGTTTTGTTCATTATCTCATGATAAGCCGGCCTAGTGTTTAACAAACCTTCAGCACTAGAAGTAGTTGTGGTGGGCATCTAAAGTCATGCCAGTATTTAATACCAAACACTGACGTCATTGGCTGCACCGTCTTCTAGCTGTGATGTGGGTCAATAAAACACTTGTGCAATTATGACTTCATTTTCGTTAAAGCAAAAGTAGTGACTATATTGAAATTGTCGATCATTTAATTCCTAGTTTCCCAATACTTGCAAATTTAGAGTTAAACAAACAAACAGACAGACAAACAGAAACCTCTCTTTATTATAGATGGAGAGTGTCTCTTACCAGGAATTAGGACAAGTGATACAATCCAGTTAATACCCGAATGACTCCCAAGAATGCTTAGGGCTCTTCCCGTACTCGCTTCTAACGGCCCCTCACCAACAAATCCAGGCTCTTCTGAAGAAGCACGAGGCCTTCCTGGGGGACCTGAGTGCCTTCGGGAACAGCATGCAAGCCCTGCGGGACCAGGCGGCGGCGTGCCAGGTGAGAAGCTGGAGACGCCAGGAGCCACACTCCCCGCCCGGCGACAGAGGATTCTCTTTCTTACTGGCTTGTACGTCCAGTAACCCAGGAAGCAGCTGCAAAGGAAACGCTAAGTTCTCTGGGCCTTATAAGCGGGAACGGTAGAGCCTCTCGGCAGCGGTCGCAGATCTGGTTCGCCGGGGCTCTCGCCGAACGCGATCAGACGCTCGCCGCCGTGCTCTCGCTTCCCACCTTCCTCGCTTCGGTACTTCCGTTCCCGCTTCTTCCCCGCCCGCCCCCGCGCACGCGCCGCCTCCTCACAGCCCCTCCCGGTCGCTCGCCTCCCTTCCGGGTTGCTGGCGCAGCTCACGAAGTGGCGACCGTGCACGACCTCGAGTAAAGCATAACCCCGACGGCAGGAAGACGCCAGTCTATCAGGAGGTCAGAAAGTTCGGCAAATAGGAGCACGTGACAGACATACGGACAGGAGGAAGGGTCTCCGGGCAAGGAGCTCCCCTCACCAGAAATAAAACTGTTGGACGGTAGGAGGATCCTCACGGCTGAGGTGAACCAGTTTCTCTGGTTGTTTTTAAGATGGTTTACCGCGTAGGTGAGGAGGGCCTTTCTAGTCAATAAGGTATGAGCGCGAAGACACGAAAGCCCAGAATACTCAGGTGTGTTTGGGAAATGGTCCTGCGAGTGCCGGAGAATGTGGAGAGGGTCAGGAGCGCGCCCGCGCGCAGAGCCTGTCCTGAACCGCCGCGCGGCTGGGACCCGCAGAGTGACGGGGGCGCCTCCTTGCGGTAGTGGAAGGAAAGAGAGAGGCTCTGGGTTCACCCTGGGAGCAGACCGCAGCTGTGGGTGGGACATGGCGGGTGACCGTGCGCGCGGAGCCTGCGTGCGTGCCTTCCTCAGGAACAGGTGGGAGAGCGCGTTGTGCTTGGTGAGCACACACAGTGCTCCAAGGATATAAAATCGGGAGGGTCTGTAAGGGAGGCGCACACCTTCCACTCTGACGGGGAGCAGGCGTGGGCCATGGCTGCAAAGGCGTGTGGTACTCCGTTCGTTCTCTCAGAGACATTTGCATAAAGTACAAATCAGAGAAGGCTACACCTTGGAGAGCAGGTTGCTTGCTAAAGAGAGGTCCAGGATCTCTGACCCCAGCTTACGGTGTCGCTTTTTATAATTCTGTGGGCTTTCCTGTGCTCTAGGTCATCCATCTCTTAAAAAAAAAAAATCCACTTTTCACTGATGTAATAATTTAAGGGTGAAGGGTTGGAAGGGTTGTCAGTGAAGGCCTGGGAAAGGCAGAAGGCCATGAGAGAGAGTGGGTTTTTCACTTTCTCGAAGAGTCTTCTAAAATGTTGGGGCGTAGAAACCTTTATTACCTGCTTTACACCCTGGAGGCTCAGAGCACTCCCTATGTTTCTGACAAACTACACACTCAGTGACTCGTTATGTGTTCATGTTTCCTGGCCCGCCTGTCCCCTCAAGGGTCAGGGCGGCACCGTGTGTCTGAGAATGGCTCATTACAGTCTCCCTCTGGCTGGCGGCTGTGTGGGACGGCCCAGCCCGAGGCTCTCCTCTCCCGTCAGCCGGGCATGGCTCCCCACCGAGGGGCTGGAGAGAGACAGGTTTCAAGCCGGTGACTGATGGGATCTGCTTCCTGCTCTCGTCCAGCAGCAGCAGGCCGCGCCTGTGGAGGGAGCCGCTCGAGAACAGAGGGTAGTGGCTTTATACGACTTCCAGGCCCGCAGCAACCGCGAAGTCACCATGAAGAAAGGCGACGTCTTAACTCTGCTCAGTTCCATCAACAAGGTGACCTTTCCTTCTAACCTTCTTCCCATCAGCAAGACAGCTCCCCCACGGTCAACCCTCCCAGCCCTGCCAGATATCCATATTTTGCCCAAAGAACATTTTTCTATGGCTGTCTCTCTTAAATCACCATAATTTATTAAGCAGCATCTTTCCTTCAGGTATTTTGTAAGGTCTTGTGTATATCCTTTGGGGTTATACTGTTAATTATAGCGAAAAAAAATGAAGACTCAAGAAGCCTAAGTAAGTTGCCCAAAGACATAGAAACTATGAATGGCAATTCTGTGATCCTAATTTATCCCTTTCTCCTCATCTCTGCTTGTCCCTCCTTCATGCCAATAGTCCCAGTGCTGGAACAACAATGGCCAGGGTGAGGAGGAACCTGGAAAAAAGAGAAGTTTTTTGTTAACTCGGTTTTCTTTAAAGTGTGAGGAATAGGTCTGTGAAAGAGCCTGTGAGAATAGGGACAAAATATCGGCTCTTTTCATACGCTCTCAGATGATTTTTTTTTCATTGCAATAATTTCCAAAAATTATTGGGAAGAAAAGAAGAGAGTCTAGGATATTGTTGTGCTGGGGCGAGTGAATTTTTGAGAGGCAGGATGGATGGTCCATGAGCAAATAAGCTACATGCCAGTCCCATTTTCTCCCTGCTCAGCCTTCTCCCCGTCATCACGTAGTGCCCCAAGGACACTGAATCTGGAGTGTTTGTTCGGTAACACCCCAGATTGCTCTGTGGGGCCCAGGGTGATACTGGAACACAAAACATCCACGAGCGAATTTTAAGGCCGTGCACAATTTTTAGGTGCTCTGGGAGAGGTGGGGAGGAGAGGCCCATGCCCACCATAGTCTGCCTGTGCCTGCAGACTTAGTTCTAAGAGTTGAAGCCTCTCCTATTTGTGGTTTTTCAAGAACTAAAGGAGTGGGGATCTTTCTCCCTCTCCAGGACTGGTGGAAGGTGGAATCTGGTGACCACCAAGGCTTTGTGCCTGCTGTCTATGTCAGGAAACTGGCCCAGGACGAACTGCCCCCGCCCCCGCAGCGGCAACGAGAAGACCCGAGCAGCATCGCCCAGCGCCAGGAGCACATTGAGAACCAGTACGTTTTAGAAGCAGGAGAACTGGACAGCACTTGGCTGAGTATTTCTTATTGGCAAAGACACTTCTCATGACTCTGTGGTTAGATTAACGATGCCATTGTAAATTCTCAGATTTTATGAGCTAAAAGTCAACTTTGGGTTCTTGAAAAACTTCAGTTTTTGTATGAGAATGATTAAGGCAATTGCCTGAGGTCAGGCACTTCATGGAGCCACTCCTGGTTGCCTGCCCAGCACTCTGAGGTCATCGAAGTCTTCTGACTTCCACGTGAACTTAATTATTCCACCAGCTTCTCAACCAGGTGTTGGCTGGCATGTGAACATCTCACATTTATAGAATAGGGGAGGTGTGATGCCAGTCACACTATTGGAACACTGACATTTGTGTTATTTTTAATGGAACCCTGTGTGTTTGTCTCTCTGCTCTCTGTTTCCTCCCAGCTTTATTTCCTCCTCTCCTCCATTCTTTGTTTGATTTTCCCTCTCTCTTCTTCTTGTTCCTTTTACTCTCCCTGCTTCCACTCCTCAGCGTTTCTTCCATGTCTCACAACACCATTCCCAGTCTCTCTCTTTGTGCACACAGGTACCGCTCCCTCCTTGAGAGGGCAGAGGAGCGCAGGCGGCGTCTGCTGCAACGCTACAACGAGTTTTTGCTGGCCTACGAGGCGGGCGACATGCTAGAGTGGATCCAAGAGAAGAAGGCAGAGAACACTGGGGTGGAGCTAGAGGATGTCTGGGAGCTGCAGAAGAAGTTCGACGAGTTCCAAACGGTGAGAATGAGCAACCTTCTCCTCCAGATGGCTTCGGACAGTGACCTTACTTCCGTTTATCCCACATGTTCTCCTAAGTGGTTCCTCAACTTCACATCTGCTAAATATCTTTCCCAGAGCTGCTGAGAGTCCCACATTTCAGATCTCTATGAGACGTGAAAGGGAAATACAGAGGGATTAGTGGCCTTGGCTCTGCAGCCTACAGTCCCTGCCACTCCCAGGCCCTCCTGGTCTCCCTGAGCTCTTTAGCACTCATCCCACACCATGCTTCGTTCTGGGATCCCAGGTTGAGGTGGGAGGCTATGGGACTCTTCAGAAGCTCTTAATTATGGGACAGAAGCTGAGATGGGAAGGTGGGAAGAACTTATAGCTAGTTTCTAAGTTTCTACCCGCCTGAAACAATCCATCCTCCGTTCTCACAGACTCATCCCATATGTTAGCTAGCAGTGAATATAAACCTCTTCCTTCCTCTCTTTACCTTATGAAGTTTTCTATATAGAATTTAAAGACCCACATGGGTAGATGATACATAGATAGATAGATAAACGAATGGATAGAGAGATGATAGATGATTGATATATGGATAGATGGATGGATGGACAGATGAATGGATGGATAGATAGATGATAGATACTTAGATAGATGATGGATGGATGAACAGAGATAGGTAAATAGGGATTTTATATACACATATAGAATATATAAGGAGAGAGGAAAGTGAAATAAAGGGAAGCAAGGACAAAATTATGAAAGAACACCAGGAATGACACTCCCATGAGGAAGCTCATTTAGAGGCCTTTGTAAAATGTAACGGATGATCTCAACCCCATAAGCATCGTGATGAGCTCCTCAGAGCTATTTCTTATAACACGCCTTAACACAAGCAGATTACAACTTAGCCCATGAAATTCTATAGAGGGCAGAGGAGTTTCTGTTGGTAGGAAAGCACAGGCTGCAGCTTAGGTAAATCAGAAGAGATTGTTCAGAAATCTCAGAAGTTGGATGTGCTCCACACTCCAGAAAAATGGCAGCTCTCTTGCCAAGTTCTCAATAGCCAGTGGGGTCAGGGAGTTTAAAACTCCTCTTCTTAGTGGCAGATTGGAGGGTGGCTTCTTGTGCATTGCATATGAGGTTAACGATATTAATATTTAGGGCAGAGGGGGGCAGGCAGGTATGAAGATTCCTGAGAAGGGGATTTATGCTGTTTTGGACAAATTTTCCCACCCAGGATTTGAAGGCCAATGAGCCTCGGCTGAGGGATATCAACAAGGTGGCCGATGATCTTCTATTCGAAAAGCTTCTAACACCAGAAGGAGCTCAAATACGGCAGGTAAGTAGAACTCCTGCCATGGTTTCCTCACTGCCCGACTGAGCTCGGGGGCCACATTGCGCTTTGATGCACTCAACTTCATGTTCCACAGATCAGCTAGGACAGGCGGAAGATAGAAAGCCGGCTTCAGGAAAGGTCAAAGACGATAGCTCAAGCAGTCCACCCGTGTATGTATTTAAACTGATCTGAAATCTATAAATTGCAACACATGTGTCCCTCCTCCCCACATCTTCACTTACAGACACAGAAAATTCATGCTCATACACACGAATATAAAGAAAATGTAGGTAAGAAGTTATAGCAGTGGAAAGGGGCTGGTCAGGAAAGCTGACTAGAAGAGACAGACACTGATAAAATGTGATGAAAAAAGAAGAAAAACACAGGTCAGTACAGAGGAGAGGTGGGATATTCTAGACCTGATTTAGACTGGGACCCTTTGTTCCATGGAAGATCAAAGGAGCATGAGTGGGATGTCTAGTCCAGCTCTCTGGGTTGTCATAAACCAGGGAAGAGGAGTTCTCTGCCTCTTTTCAGGTGGTTGAGGTGGAGTAGGAGGGAGAAGAGATGTGTGTAGGAGTAATGCATGTGCTCTCTGCGGAAAGTTGAGCTCTAAGTGGTGGCCTGGTTTGGTCCATTCAGGCTGCATAAATATAAAAGCTGCTAGCTACCAAGGCAACATGCCGTACCCACCTTCTGGACGTTGATATGTAGTCTCTGTAGCAGTCAATGTCGGTTGCTGCTCTAGGGTTGGGTTTCCATTCTGGAACATCATTTGGGGAGGGAAACATCCCTTTGTCAACTGCATGAATGAGGGCCAAGCACTCCAGAGAGGAAAGAAACCTATTGAAGTTTCTGAAGTAGATCACACAACAACCACGAGCATTCAAACATCATTGGGTCTTTGAACAACACTGAGCCACCTGAGTTAGCTTTCTAGCCAACACCCGTTGTGTCTGCCTCTTCTAGGAGTTGAATACTCGCTGGAACTCCTTGCAGAGCCTCGCGGAGGAGCAGCGCCAGCTGCTGGGCAGTGCCCACGCTGTCCAGGTGTTTCAAAGGTGAGATGGTAACCCTGAGAGGCAGTGCTGCTCTAGAACCCACTCGAAAGCCCAAGTCTGATTGCTGCAGGAGAGGCATCGCTATTACTAGAACACGCAGAGACTAGATCGGGGGAGGTCAGGTGATGGGGTCCTCCCAGACAACCAGCTCTAATTTTCTAGTGCCTGGTCTTGGATCCTGATGCGTAAGTAGCAGTTTTCATGATAGGTAATGAAACTCAGAGTAGAGATAAGAGGTTTATGTAATTTGTTTCAGAGCTAGCCATAGACAGCAGCCAGCCACAGATACCACATTGGTTTCAACTGTTGATTCAAACCTTTTTTTATGTCTGATTCCAAATCTGTGTCTGCACACACATAGCTCAGCAAGCGAGCGAGCGAGCAAATGGTAACCAGACACCTTCGCCGGGTATAAATGTAGTTTTGAGTGTTTGGAGCAGGAAAACAGAGATGCAGAGTTTGGTTGGACATTCAGGTCCTCTGGCCCGGACAGGCTGCACCCGTTAGTAGCGGTCTAACCTTGAGCAGATAGCCTCCTTAAGGCTCTGGTCTTGCCTGTGGAAAGTGGTCACAGTAGCTATGCCTCAAGTCGTAGCTGGAAGGATGAAGTGAGCCTATGTTCTAGTATATCAGGAAGGGGGGCGGGGATGAGTAGAAAGGACGTCCCTGGAGTCAGCTGGGCTGCCTGTGGAACACACTGTCACCCTCAATCCTTCACTCTCGTGAGCCAGAGAAGCAGATGAGATGAAGGAGCAGATTGAGAAGAAGCGCCAGGCCCTCCAGGTGGCCGATCCCGGCTCAGACCTGTTCAGCGTTCAGGCCCTTCAGCGGCAGCATGAGATCTTTGAGAGAGACTTCATGCCTCTGGGAGAAAAGGTGGGACACTCACTCCCAAGCTGTTCCAACACATCCCTCTTCACATCGACACCTCTGTGTGGCCTCCTCTGTGTTTCTATTCCCCAGTCCCTCCTCTCATGTCTCTCTTTGTCTTACTCCGTACTTGATCTTGTACCTGTCCCTAAGACGAGGACACCAAAGGACATGGCCAGGACCTCAGAACATGGAGGGAAAACATCCTGAAATGACCTCTACTGTCCAAGCACCTCTTAGTGGCTTCCAAGTGCCTAAACCGTATAGAAGGCCCTCAGCCTCAGACCAGGAGGTACTGGCCACCCCCAGGATGGCCTGGGCTGGGCGTGTTGCAGTTTTCTTCATAAGGAACTGACAGAACTTAATCCTGCTTGACCTACAAGAAAGCTCTGGAACTTGCGAGATGCACTCTGGGATAAATCAGGGGCATCCTGGCGTTATCTTGCAGAGCAGAAAAGGCACAGAAAATATCTATATTGAAAAGGTCTTCACATTAAAAGTCAGGACGCTTGGGTGCAAAGTTGACCTTGCCACTTATCAACAGGTTCACTTAACCATCTGCCCAACACCCTCTCATCTTAAAAAGAAGTTTGGTAATGTCGAGTTTGACTACTTGAGGGAGTTACCATGTGTACTGAAAGGGTTGGCACTATCTTATGAAGTGGCAAAATGTTCTCTTACCTCCCTGAAGTCTACTTGAGGAGTGAGCATTGCCAGGGCTCAGAAGTGGTATTTCACTAAGATTAGCTACGGCTCTCACTGCTGATTTTCAGAGCTCTTGTATCTCTTCAGGTGACCATGCTGGTGGAGACAGCAGAGCGGCTCAGTGAGTCCCACCCAGATGCTGCTGATGACCTGCGGAGGCAGGGAACAGAGCTGAAGGAGGCATGGGACAACCTGCTGAAGGGCTCGGAGGAGCGGAAGGAGAACTTAAATGAGGCCCAGAAATTCTACACCTTCCTTATGCGAGCCAGGTAAAGCTCCAAAGGCAGGCTCCATCAGGTGGGGTGGGCGATGCCCACATTTGGCCCCGTGCAGAGCTTCTAGGAGCAATCTGGTTATAGGTGCTCTTTACTCCTAGTTTGGAGGGTATGTCCACATCCAGATCATACCTTGGTCGAGGCACAGAAAGCATAGCCCCAGTAGTTCAAGCCATAGAGTACCTAAGTTTGAACGAACGTGACACCACTGAGGCCAGTCAAGTCAGCCTAGAGCACATATGCTACATAGGTGCTGTGTGGAGTGGTGTAGACGACGGGCATTTTCTTCCTACTGGAAAGACAGAGAAGAGCACAGATACCCACAGTCGAACGCAATACAGCCCAAACGCGCATCCTAACAAATGCACAGAACTAGCATGGAAAGGTACGAGGTTAAGAATGGTATAGTATGTTCAGGAAGTGGGGGCAGCCGGAGCACAAGTTTGCATATCAGAGGGCTCAAGACAACTGTTGGGGCATAAGCTCAGACATGTTAAGATAAAATCCCGAGAGCCTCCGTTGCCTTACTAGAGACCCTAGACGTTATCACAGTGGAGCAAATAGACACTTTATCTGTGGAACAGCTTCCATGTTCTGCCCCATCACCACCGTCTGCTGGGAGGAGCATTTGGAACCAAGGATCCAAGAAGTAGTTCCTCACAATGTTATACTTTTGGGAAAAAAAAAAATTATTTACTTTTGGTAAATAATTGCAATTCCTCTTGGCAATCTCCTCCCCACTTTGGCATCTCTGGGAGGCTGTAGTTTTTCATACAATATAAATAAATAGTGTCCACAGCCACCCCCAAATCATACCTGCTCACAGCTCTCTGGACATACAGATTCTGCTCTGACTTCAGACTCAAGTCAGATGCTGCCTCCTTCCCTTTGTGAACTCTACTCTTCAGTAGGCAGCGGTAATATTCCCTCCATTCGAGCAACCCTGACACGGCTTTTATCTCTTTATGACCCTCTGCTTTCCAGGCTGTTTTTGAAACAATAGGTTTTAGCCTCTTGTGTTTTGTTTGCTTTTTTTTTTTTTTTTTTTCCTTTACTCTAAAGTGTGAATTCCTCTTCTGCAATGTTTGGTACTTAGTAAGTACCCAGTGAAACTTAGTTGTTTAAGTGAATACATGAGTTTATAAAAGAAAAGACCCTTCTGCCCTAGAGTAGATGTTTGTTTTTTCTTCAGCAAGAAGAAGGAGTCTCTGTATGTGATGCTAATATGGGCATCACAGAGAATTGCAAATGAGTGCATTGTTACCTGATATTTATCCTCTGGGTCATGGACCTTAGCTCTCCTTGTCATTCTCCTTGACTGCTGACGGTAAGAAGTGGGCCCTGGTCTCATCAACAGCATGGAGAGAGAGAGAGAGGGAGAGAGAGAGAGAGAGAGTTTACATAAATGCGTGTGTACATGCATGAGTGTGTGTGCATGTGTGTGTGTGTATGTGTGCATGCATGCTGGGAATCAAAGTAAGAATAAAGACATACCTTCCTGAGATTCCATAGAGAATGGATCCTTAAACCCAAGAATTTACTCCTTATGTACAAGAATCATTTAGAGTAATGGAGTATGTATTGGTCGAGGATTTGAGTGTCTGGGTTCTTCCCAGTCGTCTGTTTTTATTTCTATTACGTGGACAAATCACTTACACTCTCTAGGCTGACCTCCTCATCTCCAAACTGAAAACGGAAGAGTTCCCAGAATTCTCTGCTGGATTATTACAAGAACGGAAAGAGACAATACATGCGAAGACATTTTCAAACATAAGGGATTGCCATTATTAAGTCAAAGAGTGTAAACAACAGAATTCAGTGATTCATCACTTACACACAACACCCAGTGCTCATCACAACTGTCCATCCTCCATCTAGCCACCCCCACCCACCTCCCTCCGTCAACCCTCAGTTTGTTCTTTATAGTTGTGAGTCTTTTACAGTTTTCTTCCCTCTTTCTTTCTTTCCTCCCCCCCCAATGCTCATCTGTCTTCTTTCTTAAATTCCACATATGAGTGAAATCATATGGTATATGTTTTTCTCTGACTTATTTGCTTAACATAATACACTCTAGCCCCAGTCATGTCATTGCAAATGGAAGATTTCATTCTTTTTGATGGCTGAGTAATATTCCATTGTATATAAACACCACATCTTTATCCATTTATCAGTCAATGGACATTTGGGCTGTCTCCATAGTTTGGCTATTGTTGATAATGCTGTTGAAAACATTGGGGTGCAGGCACCCCTTCTAATATTAACTAACTAGAATTTATGTAAAACTTTGAAAAAAATAAAGGCTTTCAAAATAAAAAAAAGGAAACGTTTCCAATTGGTTTCTAGTAAATCATCTTTATCACACTTGTCTTCTTCCTGATTTTCCTTTTACTTGGAATTTTTCTTAGGCATTGTTATCAAATTCGAGAAAGTGTCTGTCTTCATCTCTATAATTTTATATTTTTATCTATTTCATTTTAAAGATTATTTTCATTCCTTATACACAAGAAGATTCATGTGCAATGAATTTACAATAATAAATTCGCTTTTTAAAACAAGCAAACAAAAACCAGTGTGAACAACAAACCTAAGGTCCGTGAAGCATATAAAGCCAGATGGAAGGTGTGAATTCGGAAATATTTTCTAGGGAGGAAAAAGCCAAGGACGGATAGCCTTGTTGCAAGCTGCTCGGATTTCTTGTCAATCTAAATACGTTTATTTCTCTAGGGACCTGGAGAACTGGATCAGTAACATTGGTGGCTTGGTGTCCTCAGAGGAGCTGGCTGAAGATTTAATCGGCACGGAGATCCTGCTGGAGAGACACCAGGTCTGGCTACAAAATCCACAGCCACTGATCACATGACCTCCCACCCTTTCCTCACTTTGCAACATTGTTGAGATGCCCCTGGTGCCACCAGCCTCTTCCCTTTTCCAACACAGGAGCGTCGTGCTGACATGGAGGCTGAAGCGCCCACCTTCCAGGCCTTAGAAGACTTCGGTGCAGAACTTATAAGCAGTGGGCACCGTTCCAGTCCTGAAATTGAAGAAAAGCTTGAGGCGGTCAGGCTAAAGAAGGACGACTTGGAGAAAGCCTGGAAACAACGCAAGAGGATATTGGATCAGTGTCTGGAGTTGCAGGTAAAGCACACTTGACCCCGTTAAGAAGGATTAAGCTCAGTTTCTTCCTTCTGTGCAAGTTTGCACAGTTCCTACGGGTGCTCATGTCACTGGGCTTGCCATCCTGGAGGCACAAGAGCGTTTCTTGGCTCTCCGCCATTGTGCTCTCAACATCGTGGTGTTCTCTGCTCATATCCCTGTTAGAAGGACCAAAGTGGGGATCTGCTTTTGGCACAAGAGAGGGTGATTATAATGTATTTATTGATTGAGAGTTTGGTTGATTGATTCTTGTTGAGAACCTGCTGGGTGTGGAGTCCTGGAAACACAAAGATTAGTAACATAACATCCTTTTTCTGAAGTAGTGAAATTAGATGTGTAGACAGACCATTCAGGAACAGAAAGTGATTATTAATAAAACAAAATGATGAGCATTTTGAGGCTAAAGAAGTCTGAGTGATTAGTGCCAGTGATGGAAGAGACGAGCGGATTACTGGTGGCCCTGAGGGTCATGGTTATGATGGTCCTAAAGCAATAACCAGCCAGCATCTGCTAGGTGCAGCATATGGGAAATGCACTAGGGGAATGGAGTGTAGCTTAAACAGAAGCAATGTGTTCTCAGGGAAGAGTAAAAGGTACAAAATAACTGAGATCAACTGTGTGAATGTTTCTTGGAAGAACATAAGCAACCCATACGGGATCCCTTATATTAGTGTTGTAGGAGAAAAAGAGATCATTCCCTCTGTCCCCTGGATTGGATGTAACTTCTACCTTCATTTCCCATAGTTGTTCCACGGGAGCTGTGATCAGGCTGAGAGCTGGATGCTGGCGCGCGAGAATTTCCTGAGGTCAGAAGGCCATAGTTCCTTAGACACTCTAGCGGCCTTGGAGAAGAAACGGGATGATCTGGACGAAGCAATCGCTTCCCAGGTAATAACGACCAATGCAAGAGTTCCAATAACAAATATTAGTAATGATAACAACGATTCTATACATGTATGTGGTTTTGTGATTTACAAGTATCTTAATTCCCATTTGCTTCTTAGAGAAAACTCTGAGGTAGACAGGGCAGTTCACATGGTGGCTTAGTCTTAACTCAAGTCACTCATGGTCTCAGACCAACTTACCGCCAGCCCAGCCTTTTACAAGTTAACTTTTAGAATTGGAAGTGACTTTATATATTGCTTATGCTAACATCCCACCCAATGCAGGAGTCACCCTCTGCCATGGTCATGGGAGGAGTCTGTTCTTTAGGGAGGTCAGTACCATAGGAACTCAGTACCATAGGAGCTCAGTATCGTAGGAGTCACTAACAGAAGAGTACATACCACAGGAGCCCATCTTAGTGTCACTACTAATGTTTCTACTCATGTTGAGTTAAAAACCAATTTCATGGCATTTACTCTCAGGCCCTTGTTTTGTTCCTCTTTGTGAAGCCACAAAGGGTGTCTTTGTCCTTTTCTAGGAAAGAGTCTGGGATTCCACTGAAGGCCTAACCTCCAGACATCTGGACATTTTTCTTTTCCTCTATTTAGGAAAACAAGATCACTGAGCTAGACCATGTTGTAGAGCGGCTCATAGAGGATGACCACTATGCCAAGGAGGAGATTGCTGCTCGGTTCCAACGGGTGCAAGACAGGTCAGGCCTGAGCAGGTGTTCTGTGAGCTAAGGAAGATGTAGCAGAGTGGCTTTTTGCTAGCATGGAGGATGGAGGTCACATTCTCAGTTCTTTTCATTTCTAAATGCCTAAAACTATCTTGACACTTGGAAACATTCCTGATCTAGACTCACAGAATGAAAGGCATGGAATACAGCTTAAAAATTACTGACTTAACCAGTGTGTTTTATATTTGAAAATAATGAGACTATGCACCAACTAAACCTATGTGCATAATATGTAATATTAGATGCAATATATATATTATATAATATGTATATGTACACTCTCTGTAATATTATAATATATAGTATATAACTAAATAATATATAGCTATGTTATATATAGCATGCAGATCTGTAAAGAACGAGAGAAGGGACAGGTTGGCAAATGAGAAGATTGCAGATATGGCATCAAAGCTAGCTGGAAGGCTCGAGGGCAGAGAGCGATCTAGTCTCTTCCTCCAGATGGAATGCTCTCAAAGAACTGCTGACTGCTGAGCTGAAAAAACTTGGTGCCTATGCTGACCTCAAAAAATTCCACCATGACCTTGAGGACCTGGAGGAATGGATCAGCGAGATGCTACCCATAGCCTGCGATGAATCCTACAAAGATCCCACCAACATTCAGGCAAGTTTGAAATAGGAATCTTGGAAAACTCTAGCATATCCAGATTGTTGGATTAAGGGTCACCTCCCTACACAAAACTCTTGCTCACTGTTGAGATCACTGCTAGCCCTCAGGGGCTTCTGAGTCGAACATGAAGGGGTGGGTCCTTCGGAAGCCCCCGTTCATTATGACAGAACATTACTTCTTCTTTGAAACGGAATTTATCTATATTGCTTCCCTAGATTACAAGCTAATTTAGTTTCTGCTTTCCCTTCAGAGAAAATTCCTGAAGCACCAGGCTTTTGAAAAAGAGGTCCTGGGCCGAGCTGATGAGGTAGAGGGAGTCCTCAGACTGGGGGAATCTCTGATTGACCAGAAGGCATGTGACATCAGTGAAGAGACCATGAAGGTGGGGATTCTGCTCAGGGTGGTTTGGGCTAAAGGCATGTGAAGAGAAGCCTCTTCTTCCTTCAACGTTTCCGTGGGTGGGGATGTGGAGTGTGTTCTTTGGTTAGTGATCTTTCCTCTGGCTGCCACGTAACGAAGGCAGGAAACCATGATGCTCAGACCTTATCACTTCTGTCAAACTCAGTAGTTAGAACTCTGATAAAGTTTTAGACCTAATTCCTAAGTGTTGTCATGCTTGTTTGATGTTTTCTATCCCTACTGCCAAGAGTTTTGGCACTTAGGCAGGCACCAGTCTCTCTAAGAAGCCCAGGATGCTTTCCTCAAACTTTCTTCCAACACCTCCTATTGTTTCCCAGACTAACTAACTAACTAACTAACTGGTTAAAAATGTATAGCATTCAAGGGTTGGTGGATTTTGGCTAGTCCCTGGCTCCTAGCCCCCTCCAGTATCCTTTGAAGTTGTCACAAGACTCAGGATCCTAAAGACCATAGTGATCCCCCAATTTCTTTGGGTTAGGGTCAATTGAAAGAGCTGGAAGACCACTGGAACTACCTGCTTGAGAAGACAACTGACAAAGGACAGAAGCTCGAAGAGGCGAGTCGCCAACAGAGGTTCAACACGGGCATCCAAGACTTTAAGTTCTGGCTCTCAGAGGTAATTGCACTCGGAATGGTGGGGGATGTGAGTTTAATAAATACGTGCCAGTAAATGGATTATGCATGAACAATTTCCTTGACTTTCTTGGGAGAAGTTGGGGGACATGGTCGCTAATGTTCTCCTTAAAGGCAGTTTTCATCAGACAGCTTCATTGCATTCTCCTTTATTTGCAGGCGGAGACACTGCTGGCCATGAAAGATCAGGCCAGGGACTTAGCTTCAGCAGGAAACTTGCTCAAGAAACATCAGCTGTTGGAAACAGAGATGTTGGCCCGAAAGGTAAGCAGTGTTGGAATCTCACTCCTCTGGGCAGAATGGAAATGGTTCCGACTGCCCTCTTTCATCTTAGGAGGCCATTTGAAAATACTTTCTTGCAAAACTGACCTTAGCATTCTTAGCCAGCAGTCATTATAACCAGATCAAATCTGTGAGCTGCAGAGCTGTGACATTTCACTGCTAACCACTACCGTGAAACTACAGTTCTAAGGAAGAGAATCCAGGAAGGGGGTCCTAAAGCTATCTTGTCTACCTCTTAGTGATGCATTCATATAAACTCACCAGCTTCCAAAGCTCATATTTGATCTGGCCTTTGAAAGAAAGTTTATTTTACATAATTATAGAGAGCAAAAAAAAAAAATCAGAGTGTGATGTCATGTACAATGAAGTTGAACTATATATACACTCTGGACATTCACTGGAGAATTCCATTTGCCTTCCAACATCAAGCAGAAGAGTGTCTTGGGGGCAGTGATAAACATGTTGGCAGGTGTTGATTTCACCCTGGAGAAATTTGTATGATCAGTTTTACTTGGTGGCAGAGGTGGACACAGAAAGGACAAGAAGTCAAAGGCTTTCTAAGTTCCAGAGCTTTAGGACTTGATGACATTCCCCACGACAACAGTAGAAGGGCAGACTTAGAATAAAAACAGACAGAAGAGCCTGGGTGTGCTCTGGACATGGCCACCCTAGAAATGTTATGGTAGAGTAGGTCTTCTTGAATACTTCTATCCATCAATCTGTGCCAGACTCAGTACTGTGAGGAACACAGTCCTGTTTGGAGACACGCACTTACACTCATTTTCTAGTTGGGAAGAGGAGGAAAAAGCAAGGGGGAATGTCAGAAGGTGAATGGACAGGTTGAGTATTATAGTCACGTTACCCGTCATGCTCTCTGATCTTGTCCCCATCCGAGCTGAGATAAAAGAGCATATCATCAAATTGACTATATTCAAAAAGAGTTTCTTTGACACAGTCTTTGAACCTGCACCAGTGTGGTTAAAGTCCAGGGGCTGTTTCATACCTGCATGTTCTGTTCACTGAGCATACCTGGAATTTCTAGGATGCACTCAAGGATCTGAATGAGTTGGCTGCTGAACTGCTCTCCAGTGGGACTTTCAATGTTGACCAGATTGTGGAGGAAAGGGATAATGTCAACGAGCGCTTCCTGAATGTCCAGGATTTGGCAGCTGCACACCATGAGAAACTCAAGGAGGCCTATGCCTTGTTCCAGTTCTTCCAGGACCTAGATGATGAGGAATCATGGATAGAGTATGTACGGCCGACTCACACTGCACCAATAACCAAAGAGAACAGATGATCTGCCCAACACGTTCCCATTTGGTGCTGAAATGAAATATATAATTGTTTCTTACAGTTGGTATTACCTCTAACCATGCTTGCTTTAGCCTAAAGTTAACATTGGTTTTATTCTTCTCAAATTACCTTGCTGTATGCAGGCAGAAGGAGACAGGCTTAGAGAAGTGGAGAGCAATTCACATACACTCTGGGAACAAAATTAAGTAACCGTGTATGCTTGCTTGTTCTAAACAGTTCATAGAATGTGTAATGCCTGAATGAAACAGCTGGGCCTTTATAACGTACTCAACTGATGAGATCCTTGTCATTAAAAAAAAAATTGTTGAAATTCTAGTTGGTTAACATGCAAAAAAAAAAAAATACAGTGCAACACTGGTTTCAGGAATTCAGTGATTCTTGACTTCCATATAATACCCAGGGCTCATCACAACAGGTACCCTCCTTAACCTCCATCACCCACCTAGCCCAGCTCCTGCACACCTCCCTCCATCAACCCTCAGTGTGTTTTCTGTCTTTAAGAGTCTTGTCTTTAAGAGTTTGTCTCCCTTTTTTTCTTTTTTCCCTTTCTGCCATGTTGATCTGTTTTGTTTCTTAAATTCCACATCTGAGCGAAATCATATGGTGTTTGCCTTTCTCTGACTTATTTTGCTCAGCACAATACCATCTAGCTCCATCCTGTGAATCTGAGAGGCCACCAAACTGCACACAGGACAACATCACCCAGTACCTGCCACGGTTTCATTACTAATTTCGCTTTTGTGGTAAAACGTGTGATTGAGAAAATCTTAGTAGATCCTATTATTTTCCCGACTTCCCATTTAACCTGCCTCATTGTGTTCCCCTTCTACAAGCCTGATGATTCTTTCTGGTAATCAATGAATTAGAGGGGAGCCTTGTGCATAGGGCAGCAAGGAGGACATCTCAGGAACTTCAGAAACAGTGAGATGATAGAATCTTGTCTGTGCTTTGTGGCAGCGGTCGAATGTTTTACACTCAACAGCCGTGGTTCCTACCGTATCAGCTTTTTATACCCATTCTACCTAAGTTCATTATTGATATTAATAGACAAAAATAATGAAGGCCATGAACGACCCATGAACATATGCACATAGGGTCGTTTATATGTGTGTGTGTATAATTTTCACACGTTTGGAAAGGGAATCATTAGTGTATGTTCTTGAGCAAAGAAGACAAGATGCACAGGTAGACAGGCGAGGGAATGGATGGGACGTGGGGACCACTATATCATTTTCATTTGTATTGTCAGAAGTTTTGCAGAAGACCTCTGGTGCTAATTATCTTTGTGGTTACGGACACCTGAGTGTTCCAGAATTTACCGCCTCCCCACCCCTAGCCACACACCCACTCTTAGAAAACCCGTGTTCTAGCATGACCTCACATGTCTAAAGTGCTATCCATTGCCTTCCTTGGTCTCAGGGAGAAGTTGTTACGTGTGAGCTCCCAGGACTATGGGAGGGACCTTCAGGGGGTTCAGAACTTGCTGAAGAAGCAGAAGCGCCTCGAGGGGGAGCTGGTTGCCCACGAGCCCACCATCCAGGTAGGAAGGGTTGAGGTCTGTGGATCGTAGGGTGATGCTGCACGAGGGGGAGGCAGCATGCAGGGCCACAGGGAGCTAGGCGTAGAGCTCACAGGCATTCTCCCCACCTCTGCACCTTGTCTCCTGTGAGCAGGATTCTGCCCAGGGTCCGTGCTTTTCCCTGGAAGGGACACTTTCAACACTGCAGGCACAGTTGTTGGTGACTCTGGTGCAGGCTGGGACATCTGGAAAAGTTGTACTTGAGCCGAGCCACAGGGAAGAAGACAGCTCTGCATTGCTCTGTGACCATGAATAATGCAGAAAGCAGGTCACGGAATGTAGCATAGTGCAGACACTGAAGTTAAACGAGGGGATATTTAGCATGGTGAACCTGACAGCAGGGGTCTTCATTCTCCCAAGATTTTCATGACCACCCCAAGTACCATAGAGTTTACGAATGACATAGAGGCCAGGAGGGGCTGACTACCTTGCCAGGGCACTCTAACTAAATGGGGAAGGTCTTCGGGGTAAGGTGACGTGGGTGTGTGTGTCCTTCAGAGTGTGCTGGATGCAGCAGACAGACTGGGAGATAAGGCTGCTGTGGGGCAAGAGGAGATCCAGGAGCGGCTGACTCAACTTTTTCAACACTGGGAGGAGCTCAAAGAGTTGGCCGCTGCTCGGTGAGTGGGGGATAGGGGGCCAAGCTGTCTTCCTGGGTTGCTGGTATTGGGCTTAGCGTTGGCTGCTCTCCCCAGCTCCCCTTCTCTGTTTATCATCAAAGTCCCTGCTCGGATGCCAGTCTGTCACGGAGCTTGCCCCCACGACCCCAGGGAGAGGCATGGAGGCTGCTGTGTCCGTGGTCCGAACACACGTCTGCTCCCACGCTTACTTGCTGTTGTCCTTCATCATTATGGGCCTCACGTGCCAATCCTTCACACCAGCTCACACCCTTGGGTCTGTCTTACTTTGTACAATCCCCCGCCCCAAGTTTAGCACTGTGTGCCCCTCGGAACGAAAGACCAAGGGGCTTTATTTTCTCCTGGAGAGCCACACAGCCATTGAGAACCCTGAAGCCACAAAGCCAAACAGAACAGTTTCTGTCTAGGATTCCATACCTACTGGTGGCAGGAAGACACGTCTTCCTGGGGAATACAAGGAAACTTCTAGCACTGTGAGCTGCCTTCACCGTCTAAGAGGAACTACAGTGCTCTGAGTGGAAAGAGACAGTACTTCACTGATGCTGTCTTCCAACTCTGATACGGGGCCCTCATGTTTGGACAAGTCTTCCTTCCCCTAACAAAGATTCCCAGAGAGCAGATGATGCCACAAAACAGAACTTCTGGGGCCAGGGCCTCCCCCGTTCACAGGAGCTCAGGCTGGACTGTTGTGAGGCTCAGGCCCACTGCAGCTGCCTTGTGCAGCTGTGCTAATCACGGTGCTCCCCTGAGTCCTGCTGTCTTCTCGTCCTCACTGAGGCTCCCTGACCTGTTGCAGAGGGCGTCGGCTGGAGGAATCCCTGGAGTACTTGGAATTCCTGCAGAATGCGGAGGAGGAGGAAGCTTGGATCAGTGAGAAGGAAGCTATGGTTACCCGAGGGGGCTCTGGAGACACACTGGCCATGACCCAGGTGAGCTGGAGGCTGAACGGCCAGTATCTTCCTTTTGTTTGAATCTTTTCTTAAGTAGTCAACACTTCATCTATGAAAAGAATCACGCTCTGGTGGGAGAAAAAGACGATGGAAATATGGATACTCCTGCCAGTTTTAAATATCTAAATCAAGGTCCAATGATGTGAGTAATTTGCCCAAGATCGTGGAATCAGTCAGGTGTGAAGGCAGGACTCAAAGCTCAGTCCCATGACTTAGGATCTTTCTGTGACTTCAAGTCATCGTTGTTACAGACCTTCCCTCGTAGGGGTAGGTTCCCTAAAGATTCCCTCAAATACTAATATTACACTGAATAGGAGAGATTCTTATGCCGGGGCATTGGTGGTGGTTTCTAGAAAATACAGTTTTAGCAGGGCTACCTGGCAGGTGCACCAGTTCCACAATTTAGAGACATCCTTATAAATACAGTGTAGAGTTTCCAATAAAGATGAGAACAAATGGTCCACATGATCTCAAGTTAATATGGATTTTTAAAGCTTCTGAGAGTGGTCATAAGAAAATAATGTTTTTGGGACCTTGACATCTGTGCCTACTAGCCTTATAACTTAGGGATTTACCAAGAATTCTCTGTGGGGATTAATTCCCTCTTATGTGATGACATAAGGAAAGGCTCACACTGGCAAGAGAAAGGTTAAAACCTACATAGCGTACAAGTCACACAACCGACCCCTTTCTTCTGAAAAGACTTTTGGGACATGTGCACCCATGAGACACATTTAAGTGGGTTAAGGTTTCACCTCAAATATTCCCAAAGGCTTCCCCTTTTTAAATGAAACCTTTGGTCTTGAGAATTGGGGACACACATGCAGTTGTAAGAATAAAGGGAGGTCCCATGCTACCATTTACCCAGGTTCCTCCAATGGCAGCATCTGCTGGGACACTGACCCTGAGGCAGTCAGGATGCAGCACATCATCATCTCCCCATTTACAGAGCACCCCTTCCCTCCAGCCCCCGCCCCATTCTTAGCCCTGGGCAACCACCAATCTGTTCTACGCCTCCACAATTTTTGACATCTCGAGAACGTGGTGTAAATGAGCTCACACGATATGTCCCTTTGGAGGGTTGGCTTCTCACACAGCATAATTGCCTGCTGATTGATTCAGTTGTGTGCAACCTCAGTGCCTTTCTCGTGACTGCTGGGTGGTATTTCATGGGATGGACGTACCAGTTAAATCTGCTCATCTGTTGAAGGGTATCGGTTTCCCCGTTTGGGCTGTTAGGAGTAGAGCTGCCTTTAATATTCATGCAGAGGCTTCCTCATAAACATGGGTTTCATTTCTCTGGAATAAATGTCCAGGAGTCCAACAGCTGGGTCATAGATTAGCAGCATGTTTGGTTTTGTAAAAGCAGTTAATAAATACATAAAAATACATACATACATAAAAATACATAATAAATACAAAAAATCTAAAAAAATACGTAAAAATCTTTCTGGAGAGGCTGTACCATGTTGTACACTGGCTGGCTGGGTGTGCGCGACTCTGGCTTCCTTCCCACCCTTGCAGGATCGCAATGTCATCACCATTATCTTAGGCAGTCTGCTAAGAGTGCAGGGTAGCTCATTGTGGTTTGAATGTGAATTTCCTTTATGGCAGATTTTTTATGTGCTTATTTGCCATCTCTATATTTTCTTCAGCGGAATGTCTCTTCTCCTCTGTTGCCCATTTTCTGGTCCAAATGATTGTTTGCTCTAACTGTTGACCTTCTGTGCTTTGTGTCAAATCTAAAAAAAATTTTGCCTAGTCCTGGATCTTGAAGATCTTTTCCTATGTCTTCTTCCAAAAGTTTAGAGTTTCGCATTTTAATGTTAATAATCCATTTAGAGCTCACTGTTGTCTGAGATGAGAGCTAGGGCACCCTTCATCTTTTTGCACAAGAACGTCCAGTGGCTCCAATGCTTTGTTCCACAGCGTCCCTTACGGCCAACACGCTGCTTTCACAACTACCCACACCACTGTAGATGATGTGTGGTTTTGTAGACAACGTAGAGTCGGATCAGATTTTTGAACCCATTCTGCCAATCCTGATCTTTCAATAGGAATTTTTATACCATCACATTCAGAAACTCATTTTAGTGAGAAGTTTTTGCACTAACATATGAATTCCAGGAAAAGATTATATGAAGCTTTTTTGCTAATCCTCCTATTACCTTAAGATATCTGTCTACCTAGCCCTTCTATGTCATCTTTCATAAAGAAAAACCTGACCTTCTGAGTGTTTGGTTTCCTGAGCTCATATGCACTGGCTAATAAGAGAAAAGAGAGTTGTTTACCTGCTGTTGAATTTCAATTTCTTTCCAGGAGAAGAGAAGAGGTTTCTGATCAACTTCTTGCAATCATGAGACACATAATAGATATATTTAAAATATGTTTTAAGCTTTGGCTTTATCAACTTTTTTTTTTTTTTTTTTTTTTAAAGATTTTATTTATTTATTTGTCAGAGAGAGAGAGGGAGAGCGAGCGAGC